CCAATGAGCGCCCGCCGTCCCCGCCCCGCCCCGCCGCCGTGAGGGGCCGCAGGGCCCGGATGTGCCCGGCAACGCGACGGCCCCGCCGCCCCAGCCCGGCCCGGCAGCGCTCTGCCCGGCTGCAGTCCCTTCCCGCCTCCCGCCCCGCGCGGCCTCACTCTGCCCCTCTCCGCTCCGCTCGCCCCGCTCCGCAGCGCTTCCGCCAGCTGCAGGCTCACTCCCCTCCCCAAGGCCGCCGCACACTGAAGCGGCGTCCGCCGCCCCCCCTTGAAGCCCTTCTCCGGAGCTGCCCGCGACAGCCGCAGCGGGGCGGTACCTGTGCCCAGGGCGCTGCCGTGCGCCGGTCGCCCCGCGGCACCGCCGCCGCTGCCGAGCTCCGAAGGCCGCTTCCGCCGCCGCAGCTGCCTGCGCCCGATTGGCCCGGGCCGGCCCCGCCCACCACGAGTTTACGCTCCTCGTTGGCTGCCGCGTCCGCCCCGAGGGTCGCCGGGAAGTGTAGTCCGCGCTCACGTTCTGGCGGGCACAGATCTCGCGAGGCGCGGGAGGGGCGGTGCCGCGCCCGGGCGCGCTATTGGCCGCACGCCGCGAGGTTTCCGAGGAAACGCGGGGTGGGCGGGGCCGGATGCTGACCGCGCCCCCGGCCCCCGCCCCGCTCCCCGCGTCCCGCACCCCGGCCTTGCCGGCTGGACAGGCCCTGGCCCTGTCTGCCGGCGACAGTTTTGCTGCTGAGCTCAGGGCGAAGAGACTTGGTAAATAAACCGATGGCATCAATGAATTCCTGACCCTAACAGCCCTGCTGTGCCTGGCATAGCTGTTTGCTACTCACTGGGGCAAAGGGGAAGAAATAAATAAATAAACCCCAAACCCACAAACCTTGGTAATCACATCACAACCCAGAGACACCAGCAGTGCAGGTTTGGTTACACACAGCTCAGAACACCACTATTTTTCATGACATTGTTCTCATGTCTTGGAGCTCGGAGATGAAGTCAGACAACATCTGTCACTTTCAGAGTTTCAGTGTTTTAAAATGAAACCAGAAGGAAAACCTTTGAAATTACAGGATCACGTGTAAGCTCAGCTATGCAAACTTTTCGTGTTTGTGTTGTGAAGAGCCTTGCAAAGAGCTGCTGAGGAAGCCCTGGCACGGGCGATGGTTTGCTTTGGAAGGATACCACTCTCCAGGATGACCGTCAACCAGCCAGCTGTCCTGTGGCTCAGCTCCTGGGACACTCCCTTACCCTTGCCCAAGTTACTTTGCCTGTTTCGACTCCCGGCTTTATTCTGGATCTACACGTCTTGCCTGAGATCCCAGTTCTGCTGCCCCATCCCTGTGACTCAGAAAGCCCACAGTGACACTACAGAGCGCTCAGAGGACGCGGCAGGGCCAGCTGGGCACAGAGCACACAGAGAACGGCAAGGTGGAGTTGGCTTCTTCGGGCTGCAAGAGGGACAGCTCAGAGGGAGCTCTGATGGAGAGCTGTGAAAAGTACAGAGAAGATAAATGAAGAACAACTGGGTTTTAATCTGCCATATGCTTATTTTAGTTTACACTGTAAATGAACGAGCAAGTGAAAGAAGCAGCTCTTTGTATACACGGTCTCCTTTCAGCAGCGCAGGCTGCCGACTGCTAATGGACGATTTGAAGGCGGAAACACGGGTCCCACCTTTGCCTCCGGCGTTACCTCTTTAAACTGAGATTGCACCGGAGTCCTGGAGAAGGCCCCGTGGTTACCACGGCCGTTACCCAGGGCCGGGGCTGCCCAGCCCGCCCGCGGCAGCGGCTCTCTGAGGGGAAGGCGCGGTGCCGCCGCCGTCCCCCGCGATGGCCCCGGCCCGGCCCCGCCGCCACTGCGGCGCCGCGGCGCCTCTGGCCCGGCCGCGGAAGCGGAAGCGGAAGAGGTGGCAGCCGGGAGGGAGCGGCGGCCGCGGGGCAGGTGCGGTTGCCGGGCGGCCGGCGGGGGCCGTGAGGGAGCGGCGGTGGGGAGGGCCCGGGGCCGCGCCCCTCGGGACGCCGTGCGGGGCTGGGGGCCGGCGGGGCCCCGCGGGACTCAGTCGGTCCGCGGGCGCACGGGTGTAGCGGGACCGGGGAGCGGCGGAGGCCGCGCTCCCGGTTAATTCCCCGCACCATTAAGGACCTGACGATCCGGGTTTAAGGCGTGTTTTGAGCCCTTTTGAGCTGCCGTGCGTCTGTTCAGCGCTGCAGTGAGAGCCCGCTGGGCGCCGACCTCCAGCTGGAACAAGGGGTTTCTACTCGTGGGCTAACCAGTTAATCGCCATGTTTTAGTTTTGGTGTCCATAGCACGGCAACACGAGCACTTCACAGGACGTGCTCACAGAGCGATCCGAGCCGTCAGCGATCGCTGTTACCAGACATCTTTGCCGTGCGCTGATCTTTGCCACTTGCTGACCTGACAGGGCATGGCAGAGAGCGCTGCCTGCGGCTGTGGGGTGATTTGTTTCTTTCCCGCCTGCCCAAGTTCCCAGAAGTATTTTAAACTGAGTAATTGGAAGAAAAATAAAGGAGGAAAAATATTTACAAACTAGATGTGAGAACTCCACTTTGCAGTATTGTAATTCAGGTTGGGATTTGCTTTGTCACCTGACACAGACCACAGCTGGATCTCCTCGTGTCACACGGTTCATTCCCGTGCCTCTTACCTCTTTTTTCATGGTGTATTTTTCTTTGAGATTTTGGTCTTTCCTTTGTTTTATGGCTGTCATTATTCAAGGCTGTTATTAAGTTCTAATGTGCAGGTTTTCAGTTGGCTAAACAGGTGTCAGGTGACACATGTGTACTTTGGTTTCTTTCCTATTTCATACAGAAAAAGGCTTTTATTACAGTCTTTCCCATTCTGGGAAAGAAGGCACTAGAGAGCAGCACAGGAGCTTTAGTTGTGAGAATACAGTTCAGTATATTCATTTGTGTGTTTATGATTTGCAGTGAATAAGAATGACCCGACTCTGGGAGGAACTGCAAACTGTGGTTTTTATGTTGCACTTGGCGGAAGCCGAGGTTTCACTCCACAAATATTGGCTGAACTTCCCCTCTGCACACAGGGAATGATGGCTTTGAGCATTCTGTGATGCCATCTGCCTCCTTCCCAGGTGTGGCATAAAGCAAACGTTGAGTGCAGCTGAGCAAGCTGCTCTTTGGATATCACAGCAGGCATTTCTGGTTTAATCCTGAGAAAAAGAACAGTGGCTGAGTGATTGCTGGAGAATGTAAATTTTAAAAGGAAACAGGATTCAGTTTTTTTGTCTGTGTGTATATACAGGCGGAGCTTAGAGCTACAGATATATAACACTGTTTTTTACATTGAGATCATCATGAAAAAGAAGCATGAGTTAGATCCTGGCAGGTTGGTGGCTGTGATATACCTGGGTTTGGTGTGGGATGTTTTTTCACTTGCAGGGGGAAAATGGAAAATGAGTTATCCAGAAAAATAACCATGAAGAAACAAGACAGTATCTGGGTGCATATCGGGTATGTAGAAAATATAGTCTAGACAGAGAGGGGGAAAAAAACTTGAAGTTTTGGAGACTAATGAAAAACCAACAGGAGAATTCAGGTCTTCTATAAGTGTAAGAGTTGTGGGCAAGGAAATTCCACTCAGCTGTGTTCTGCTGTATAGCTCAGAGAACACAAAGACATGAAAGTACCCATGAAGGACACTAAAGAAATGGCCTTTTTTTTTTTCTTTTTGTCTTATTTCTCACAGTAAGATGTATCATGTGAGTCTGTTTTCATTATTTTGTTCATTTTTCAGCTTCCAAAATTGGTGGTGCTTAGTGCATCCAGGAGATGCTTGTTTCTTCATTCCCCAGAGAAGCAGTCCGCTGTGCCCAGCAGAACCTAAAGGGCTGACTAGGGAACCTCATCCTTGCCTGCTTTATCTGACACTGGTTAGTACTTGGCTGCTGCAAATGCAAGGTGTGACTTTACCTCCCATGAAATGAACGGTGGGTTGGTTTTTCACCCAGTTTAAAGTACCTCCTCCTAAAGTAAGTAGTATGTAGGTGTCCCAGAACTGAAGCAAGTTTATTTGAAAGTATAAACACAGAGGAAGCTGGAATTGATTTAGGTTTAATTGCAGCTCAGGAGTCAGATTGTAAATTCCTTGCCTCTCTTTACGTTTTCACAGTATTTCTGATTTTGGAAGCTCAGGTGAGATGATGTTCATCTCATTGGTGTATTGCATTAAATGGGCCACTGAAGCTTAAAATGTCCTAATATATTTGGATATGTGAGATTCTGTATTTATAAAAAGAGACAATGCAAAACTAACTTTTTTTGTCATCATTTTCAGGCTTCTATAAAATGGGAATACTTATTGCAGTTCTTGGAATCTGCTTCAGCTCTTCACTTGTAAAAGGAGATTCTAAAGCTGTGACAACATCTCTAACTACGAAGTGGTCTTCAACTCCTTTGCTCCTTGAAACAAGGTAAGTGCATTGTGATTTTTTGTTGACAAATCAGATTATGCTTATAGGATAAAATAATGTGTTCTCTTTGTTATGTGGCACTTTGGATTCTGGTTATTACTAACTCATTGTTAGTATTAACAGCTGAACATGATCACTGCTCTGTGTAGGGAGATGGGAGGAGATTTTAAAGCAGACAGTAGTAGTTCTTTTTGCATGATAAATTCTTTCATTATGCATTAGAACAAACATTAATAACCATAAACAATTACACTGTATTATTTTGCTTTATGAAGTTTTACTCAAGGCACTAATTAGAGGGGTTTAGCATGATCTTGTAAGATTCCATAGCAAAAGGTATTTTACTTCAGCATTGATTGTAGGTTTTGATATGTGCTGCTGCTTGTGTATGTTTAGCTCAGTAAAGCTAGAGTTTAACTTTGTTCATGTGAGCTGTGCATTGATTAAAGTCAACTGCTTTGGTAAGAGTTGTGCAAGTCACCCTGGGAAGATTTCTTCTACGGTACTAAAGATTTTTTTTTTTCCCTAAAGGTGCTATGAAAAAAGAAAGCAAAATGCTATCTTTTCACTGCCAGTCTGCTTAGCACTTTTGAAGTCCCCATAATTTCATTTTTTTATATTTTAGTTTGGAGATATCAATGCAAAATAGGACTTTTTTCGGTTTAAGAGTGTGTGTGCCTAATTTTGTGTCACTTAAGGGTGTTGCCAAATATGGAATGCTGTCTGTGTTACTGTAGATTGCTTCACATGACAATAATTGAACATCGCTGGGTTTCCTTCATATGGGCAAGGCTTGGGGTCAGAGGACCAGTGTGTCCTAGGGGAAATTACTTTTCTGTAACCTTCTTTGTTGAAGCTTAAGACTGAAAGTTCCTTAAGCAGTAAAATGAAAAGCACAGGTGTTAATGCCAGCATTTAAATATCCTCACACCGTGAGACATTTGTTGGGGAAAAGCTCCCCCTAAGAGAGTGTGAAACAGTAAGTAAAAAATGAAAATATTATGCCAAAGGCACATTTGCATACAATATCCGTTGAATACAATATCCATTGTATTCAAAGACTTGGGATAGGTAGGATTGTTCGCCTGGGATGAACTGCAGCGTGATGCAGCACTGCAGTGTAAAATCTTTGCTGCTGTTCAATGTACTTAGGCCAGCACTGCAATTTGTTACCCAGGTGTTAAAGCACCACCTGCCACCTTGGGTCAGAACACACAGGTCATTGTGGCAGTGAGTGGGCTCCAAACCTTCTGTTACAGCATCAAGTGTGTAACATGTTTAGACATGATACAGTATTTGTTGTTAGCAACGTTTAGAGAATTAATTTTACTATCTAACATTGTATACCTACCTAATCACGAAGCTGTGACTTCTTCTGCTGATTTACAAAGAAACAAACGAGAAACCCCACCAAAGCTGATAGTTCCAATAATCTACAGTTTGTTACAGCAAAATAATCAAAAGTGAATATTTCTCATAAAAGAGAGCTAGCAAAGAAATGCATTAGGGAGGAGAGGTGTCAGGGTGGGCACTGCTGCCTGTTAGTGGTCTTTGAGAGATCAGTAGGTGCCTTACAGGGTGTTTTCATGTACTGTGTGTTTGTCCTGGTCTGCAACTATTATTTGTTGAGGTGTGTTGTGTTTGTTTTTGGTTTTCCTGCACTGCTTTTTCTAGTAACGCAGTTTTCTGACATAGGTAAGTAAATGGTAGGAACGAACTTTCTTAAAGTTTTACAGTGTATGACATTTGTAACTTGAGAGAAAATTCCTAGATCTAGCTAACTTCTCTTCTTGCTCAGTGAATTTTTGTCAGAAGAAGGTCAAGAAAAATTCTGGAATTTTGTGGAAGCCAGTGAGAATATTAAGACATCTGAACAGTATGGTAAGTTTTCATAGTCTTTTTCTTGATGCTAACTGAGAGTTGAAAAATAAACGTTTTGTGTTAGTCCTCATTTGACTTTTAAAATGCTGATTTCAGTAATATTTTTTGCTGCAATATGCTCAAGGCTTTTGGATATCCCTCTGACAAAAGCTGTAGTGGATGGGTCTGAAACATTTTGCTTGCCAGTTTCTTTTTCAACATGAAGTATAAAATATTGTAAATACCTTTTCTCTGTGTTACTACTTCTCAGCTGAAATTAAATGGGAGCTCTTAACTGTTTCCCTCCTCCCCAGCCTGTGTTTGCATCCTCAGGAATGTATTTAAGTTTGCTCTCATGAGTCTGTATTGAAGTCCACTCTCATCCACCTATAGAACCGGTAGTAATGACAATTGAGGAGGAACAGTCATGTGCGTGTTTAAGATTAATTTCATGGGCTAGTTAGCCCATGTTTGTATAAATCATGAGATGGAAGGTCCCTCTTCGATAAGAATATGGTATAGGAGGATAACTGCTGTACTTTGACTTTGCAGGTAGCGATTCTTCTTCTTACCAGGAAATGCTGAAAGTAGCCTGCCAGACTCTGTCACCTTTGCAGCAGAATTTGCTGAAATTTTCCTTGTCTTTACGCTCTTATTCTGCAACCGTTCAAGCTTTTCAACAGGTTAGTACAGGAAGTGCTCAAATGGTCTGCAGAGCTTTGCCTAAGGCCCAAGAAGGAGTGAGGTGTGGAAGGAGATGTTTGGGAGTAGAAAACCCCTGACCTGACTGACTGCTCCATACACCTGAGCTGCAGAGCAGATGTATATGTGAATTTCATGGGGTGCCGAATTTTTGTCTGGAGTAGATTAACAAATTGGGATTTTGACATGTCTGAATATCTTTGTGCCTGCTTCACTAATAATTGTGTGAAGATTTTTATGAGGAAAATCCCTGTGGCTCCATTGGTACTTGTGATGCTGCTGCTGTTCCTGTTGTTCAATTGTACTTACTTGAAGATAATAATCCATTTAATATATCTCTCTGGTGATTACAACTCATAAATGGAAGTTCATTTTATTCTGTTTTTTTTTTAACTCAGGGTATTATATAGTTCATTGCAAATTGTCTCACATTAGAATGTGCTTTATTTAGGTAATACTGTAAAACATCTTCCTTTTTTATCTGGAGTAATTTTGTCTTTTGATATTCAACAAATACAGAGGTTTGTGATGTGTAATGCAAAAAAAAACTCAACCAAACCCCCTACAATTGCAAGCCTTGCTTTCTGTACCTGGAACTGACACTACAGTTAATAATAACAGACTGGGAAATAAGTTAAGGCTTAGCTCTCAATTTTGCAATTTCACCTTGCATTTAAATTATGTCACAAACATGGAAAAAGTACTAGTTTGGAATATAAGAAATCAAATAATACTGGTTGCTACACAGCTACACTGTTATAATTTCCACTTGTTCTAAGTGAATTTTATTATATTTTCACTTATTCAACCTACATTATTGCAAATATTTTATACAGATAGCAGCAGATGAACCTCCACCAAAGGGCTGTACCCTGTTTTTCGTTGTGCATGGGGAGAAGACGTGTGAATTTGACTCTCTTGGAGACCTTTTACGGGCAGCCTCAGACAGGTATTGGCTTAATTTCCTATCACTGGATTAGCTTTTAAAATTTAGACTCACTACTGTGAAGACATTGTAATAAAGCAATAGTTTCTACTTTCTTCGGTGTTGATTTATCCTGTCCATTGCTTGCAAAGGAGTGGTAGTCTCTTATTTTGTATTAATCCAGATTGCAATGATTGTTTTCTTATCCCTTACTCTTTGATATTCTGCTAGGAGGAATGTGCACAGGAAAAATTGGAAACAAATCCTGCAACAGCTTGAAATTGTTGAAGGACAGTAGGAATTCTCAGGAGAGTGTAAAGCCTTCAGTATGTAGAGAGAATAGAAGGAGCTGCATATTAAAATGAGAGTTATCGTAACAGATTGTTTCATGAATGGCTGGAAGAATGCACAGTATTTTTTTTCTCTGTATAATTTTCCTCAGCATTAACAAAGAAAAGCATTACCACACAATATGTATTTCAAATTCAGATTTCTCTGTGCAAACAGAACTTGATTGTAACTGCTTGTAACAAAAAGAAGCTGTAATACCTCTTCAGAAAATAAAACAAAGTAACAAACCAAAACAAAGCCAAGCCCTTAAATTTCAGTTTGTTTTCATAGTAACCTTGGTAGTTTGGCCTTTTGTAAGCATAAAGAGTTTTTTGTCAATGTGCAAACATATGGCATCTATAGCTCACATGCAATTTTTCCCACTCACTGGGAATATTTTAAATATTTCATTGTATTTTAAACAAAATATCAAGACAGGAGTTAAAAATAGTCTTCTCATTCACTTTCTTGTTTGTATACTAAGCCAAGTTCAAATGAATTTGTGTTCCTGATATTTGTTCTATCAGCTTTTTTAATTTGTTATACAGAATCTTTGAATCATGGGGGGGAAGGGGAGAAAGTTAATTGGAAATTTAAGGGAAGTGGTTCATTTTTAAAATAAGGGTCATATTAGATTCAAAATAGCTCTTAGTTACTTGTTTCATTTTCACATGTTCAGTTTTAACAAAGCATTATCAACATGCAACAGGTGTTGCCAACCTTGATAATATGTGGGAATAGCTTGACACATGTATTCAGTGAGAACAGGAATAGTGATTAAACAGGGAAAAAAAGTCCATCTTGCATTGAGTGAGGAAATACTGTGAATCACACTGTGGCAATCTTCAATGTTTCCTCTTAGGCCAAAGCCATTTTTGTTCAAGGGGGACCACAAGTACCCAGCGTCAAACCCCGAAAGTCCCGTTGTCATCCTTTATGCTGAGATTGGCTCAGAGGAGTTCTACAGACACCACAGGAGGCTTGTTTCAAAGGCTGAGGCAGGAGAAATCACCTATGTCCTCAGACACTACATTGCTGTAAGTGTATCTGTGCATTGTAACTGAGGTATTTGAATTTGAAAGAGTAACTGGCCCGGGTTTTAAAAAAGAAATCTAGCCCAAGTTTGTTCCCTTTAACTTGACTTCATGTGCTGCTGCATTTGTTTTGGAATATTTATTTGGAATGCTCAAAGTTCTATTTTTTATTGCATATAGCTGAGGAATACAGAATAATCTCCTGATTGTTTAAGTAAGAGCATCATTTGATTTCACACATCCAGAATTAAACTTGATTAATTAGGGACTTTAATGTAAAGAAATGTTTCTCTACCTATATTAGATCATAGGAAACAGTCAGATCTGTCATAGTCAGGCCACTTAGTTATTTGATAGGCAAAGCAAGGATTAACAGTAAGATACTACTTTCAAAAGAAAGGCATTACTTCTGTAGCAGTTTTGTTACAGAACCTCTCACCATTCGTCATGCAATTTATCCTGGTTTCCATCTTCCTCCACTAAATTGCTTGTGGCCACTGGACTAGTGCTTAAAACTACATTTCAAAAGCTCTGAGAAACTGATTATTTGACTTGTTTCTTGAATATTACTAAATGTTACCCAAACCTGCAGTGTAGCAGCCAGAGCTTGAATGCAAAAAAAAAAAAAAAAAGCATTGGCTGGTTCCCTTTTAACATTACTTGCACTTTTAATCAAATAAAGTAATACATTGGATACACCACATTCCTTTTATAAAAGGAATTTGTTTATCAGTATATTCAAAATTAAGTGTATTACACATGAGATCTTGGTACTGTTATGTGAGTATTATATACTTCAAAATACTTTAACAAGTGATCATGTTTTTCTCATTAGTCAGACCAAATTATATATCTCTTCTTACTGATAGTTTTATTTCTTGTAATTCTCCGTGATAACTCTTCAGTGAATGTTCATTTTTGAACCTCACAGCTGAAGTTCCTTTCCCCCTTCTATCTGATTTGGTGACAGGAATGTATCCAGCTCTACTTGGCTCACACACTGTATCCTGAAAACATTGTTTCGTGTTCCTCTTTGTGGTTTTTGATGATTTTTGGTTCATAGGAATAATTCATGCTTGCTGAACTTCAAAAACTGTTTGAAATACAATAGGAAATATAATTATTAGAGTATGTTACTACAGAATCACAGAATCACTGTGTTTGTTTCTCATTACCAATTATGTCTGAAATGTGTACCAGCTTGAGATTTCCTAGCTTTGGGAAGTGGCAGCTTTTAATCTGTACATCAAAACAAAGAGTGGTAATATACTGTTTATTAATTGCTTTTCCTTCCAGAATCCCAGCAAAGAAAAAGTCTACCTCTCTGGCTATGGCGTAGAACTGGCTATTAAAAGTACAGAATATAAGGCCAAGGATGATACACAGGTGAAAGGTGAATTACTGTTTCAAGCATTTTAATGTGAACATTTTAATTTTGCAAAGATAATTTTATATTTATTTTGCTCTGAATGACTGTTTGAATTGAATTCTTTCCTTAGCTCCGAAATTACTTTTGGGAGCATGTTCCCAATTGAACATATCTTTGCCTTGGCACTTGTCTTCTGTCTTTGTGAGATGTTGGGCACAATGGAGTCATGGCTCTGGGCTAGATCTTAGTAATAGCACTATTAATGCAACTAATATTTTACCAGAGAGCCAGCCATTCTCTGCTGGTGAATAACAATTTCTCTACCTTAATTTGTCTTAACTTACCCATCCTTAGATCAGAACGTCTTTCCTGTTCTTGGTTTTCTTGGGGAAGACAAAGCTTAGAATTCTGCATGTTATTTTGCTTTTGTTGCTTTTAGAGCACTGATCTGTGCTTTGCAAACTCTCATGCACCTGCCAAAACTACTTTGATAGGGTGATATGTGTGTATATGTGCACACAGACATATAAACCCCCAGATTTTCCTGCTTTTCTGTTTCTGAATAGCCTTGGTGCCAGTGGTGTTCTCTGTGTGTTTATAGGCACAGACGTGAATGCCACAGTCATAGATGAAAATGACCCTATTGATGAAGTGCAAGGATTTCTGTTTGGAAAACTAAGGTAAAACTCAGTTGTAAGTGGTTGATCTTTCTTAAAACACTTGTTGCAGAGGTGCTGATCTTTTGCTTTGTTATTATTTTTTGCATGTCAGAGTTACCCATGTGTGTTTAGCAGCATCTTTCCATATGGTAGTTTCTTTGAATTAGCAGCAGACCTGCTGACAGGAAACCACAGGAGTTGTTTGACCCTTGCACCCTTTTAGGCAGCTGTATCCTGACTTGACAGAAGAGTTGAAGGAGCTCAGAAAACACCTCGTGGAAAGTACCAATGAAATGGCACCTTTGAAAGTGTGGCAGCTACAAGGTAATCTGGATGAAGGCTTTCAGTATTGATCTACAAAAACTCAGTGTAAATATATCTTCTCGTGTTCTGCACAGTCAAGGTTGCTGGTGGTACAGTTGACAAGAGTTTGACTGTAAATTCCTGCAGTGGAAAATAATGGATTTTTTTTAAAGTGCCTTTTTTTGTAGAGTCCTGTTGAAATAGCTTTTAGAAAGATTGTTTCACAGGTCTTGTGACACAAGGATTGCTTTCTATATTGTGAAGTGCAGTGAACCACTTGCTCTGAGACTGGCTGCTTGTATGGTCCACTAAATGCAGGAAAGAAAAGGAATTAAAATTTCTTTCCATGATCACATTCTTGGTGTAGAAAGCTGAAATTTCTCAAGACCAGAGGAAAACTGTCTTTCTAAATCACCTGTGTGCACCTCTGGGCTCTTTCCCCAGAAAAATCTGTAGAGGCCTGTGGAAATGCTTTTCATCCTCTCAAAAAGAGTAATATGAAAGGCTGAACATAACTGGTAGCCAAAGGGAATGTACCTATATCGAATGGAAGGGCAGATTCTCCCACCTCAGCCAAAGAAAAAAGAGTGCTGGTCTGGACTCATTGAAGCAACCTGAAGGCAGCATGCACTGGTTCAGTTTGGAAGGGTTACTTGTTTCAAGGCAACAGAGGTTGAATACTAAGAAGATGATTTTAAAAAAAGGGTATCTACAGGTGCAGTTAGAAAATGAATTTTCTTAGGTAGCATGCAAAAAAGTTGAAAGCTAAAGTTATGATGCCTCTGCATTGCCTTGTTTTCAGTTTTGAGTTCTTGACTTCTACTTTTTTTACTTCTAAGATTTGAGTTTTCAAACTGCTGCTCGCATTTTGACTGCTCCCCCCATGGATGCTCTCATGGTCATGAAAGATCTCAGTCAGAACTTTCCTACAAAGGCCAGGTAACTTTAATTATGAGTTCTAGGAAGTTTTCTCACTCTTTTTTTCTGAGCAGAATCTGAGACAGGCAGCACTGGTTGGGTTAATGTCTGAGTTTCATTTAGCTGGAAGCAAACACTGGAGAATGTTTATGCTGTTCTTCAGCCTACAGTTACAAAGAGGATCTTAAAGTGTTTATTTTGCATGGCAGCTGATGTGGACTAGTGGAGAATTTGCCAGAATTGCCTGAGCTCTTTTGTTGTGAAATGTTTCTGAACCTATTGCATCAAGTCCTCAAGAATTTATCGGCTGTGTTTTCTGTTTGGTGGCCTTAATGTTTATCCATTCACAGGATCCCGCTTTTCTGGGATCCTCTTTGCCAAACAGTCTCATGTCAGAGATGTGCAAATCTGCTGGGTTTTGCACTTTGTCAGTGACTGTCTTTAGTGTATTCAAATCAATATCAAAAAATTCAGTCATAGTCTGGTCTGCCCAACCAGTCTAGAAATATCTCTTGATAAATTCCATGGCCTGGATTGTGAAGTTGATATTATAGGAGCTCCTCATTTTTGCATAGGTGGAGATACACCTGAGATGAGAATAAAAAGAAACTGATTTCTGGTCTTATTTCCCACTAACTGATGTTAAGGTGCTTTTTAGATCTTCTTAAGGCAGGTATTGCACTCTTACTGTGGTTTTAATCTGATCTGTGGGCTGTACTTGCCCATTCTGTGATGGTGCAATCACTAGATCCAAAGTAAGGAAAGGAATTGGAACCCACCATGTGGAGTGAAATCCCCCTATTTTGTGTTGCCAGCCTCCACCTCTACCTTTCTGGCAGCTTCTCACTTCTATTGTGGTTAATATCAAATTAGACACTGAGAGGTGGCACGTGGTTCATGTTTTTGTGCTGCTGAATTGTATGCTGTAAGAAAAATGCTGCATCCCACTGTTCAATAGTATCACAAAGTGCCAGTGCTTCTGATTGCAGCTCTTTATGTTGGAGAGTTAATTATATTAATATGTAAAGTACAAAAAGTAGGATAAGCAGGTACACAGAATGATGATTCACAGCATGATGTTTTTATTTTTGTAGAGCCATAACAAAAACAGTTGTTTCTTCAGAACTCAGAGCAGAAATTGAAGAGAACCAAAAGGTAATACTTCCAGAAAGTAACATAGTGACTTTGCACTTCTGTTTTAATAGAAATTCAAGCTTTGAAAATAATGATTCTGTTTAAAAGTTTAGGTGTTGTTCAAGATAATGACCAGTATTTTCACACACAACTTTGTAGTGTGCATTTCAGAAGAGAAGAAGTGGTGGATTTTCAAACATGGATTAGGAACATAATTTACTTTCTTTGCTCAAATATGAAAATACTATACTTGTTAGAAAGCTATTGCTTGAAAAACAGATATATTAAGCATTTTCTTACAGTTTTAAGGATGCAGAAGAAATTTAGTTCTCATTACCCAATTTGAGATGATGCTTAGGTACCTGTATTCATCAGTGTTTGCCAGGAAGAGTCACAGAATAAATTCAAACCTGCCATGGCTTTAGAATGATTCATACTATGTGGAGGAAATGGTTTCAGTGTTGGTGCTTTGAGAGTGAAACTCTTGAAGGGATAAAATTCATCAGCTAATTCTACATGTGCTTTGAAACAGAATCATAAAAACCCCCAGGTCATGAGGGGCCTTTGGAGGTCACTGGGTAGGCTCTGGTGTTTGCAGCAGTGTTTTGACAGCTAAGTTACATACTTGGCATTTGCAAAGCACTGAAAAAACCAAGAGCCACTTGGGGATTTTGTACAGGCTTTTGTACAGAATTTTGTGCACCAGGTAATGCGGTCTGGATAGAGTGCAAAATAAAACTCTAAGATAACAGTGCAAAAAAGCCAAACAACAGCTTTTGCTATATGATCCGCACTGCTCAATCCACACGTTCCAGTCTCACTGAAAGGTATTATTAGGAAAAAGACAAAGTATGTTAAGTACACACATATTGTTTAAAAATCTAACTAATGATATCTGGCAAGCCCAGTAGTAAATGCAAAGCTACACAACGTCTACTTACAAGTCCCTTGAGATTCCTGTTCTGAGAGAGAAATGCCTTGTTGATTAGTAGTGATAAAATCAGAAAAGAAGGGATAGGGTTTGACACTGTTGTCCTGTGTGATTCTGGAAGGGACAAAGTATAGGATGTAAGTGCAAGGTAAAGCTACCTGGTGGCTTTTTTGTTATGTGTTAGATCAGACTCCTTCACAGGTAAACCCATGGTTTTGTGGATTCTTTTTTTCCAAGAGAATACCTAGGCTACTAGATCCAGATCTGGCTACATCTAACCCTGCCCTTTAGAGCTGTTCTCTGTACAACTCAGTTTGTGTGCATATTATTTGATAGTTAAGTTCACTGCTAGTAGTCTGTTAGAGTTTACTATGTAATTATCCACAGAAAGATACAATTAACACTCAGCTTTTCTCTAGAAGCCTTATTTATTTAATAAAATACGTAATTTTTTTCTGATTAGAAGCTGCTTTCCTGCTCTTGGTACTTCACATGGTACTTTTGCTATTCCTCGGTTTGCTTTGGTCGCTAAGTGTCTCCTTCTGTTCATCTTAACATTTCTTCTTAATAGAAATGTGTGACTGGTACTGTAAGATGAGAGGTATTGGAAGAAAGTTTTTCAGTTTGTAAACATAATTTTTCATGCTAGAGTTGGGAAGTTTGCTTCATCTCTCCCGATTCAATATTGTTCTCTGTGATGGTGCCTCAATACAGGGGCAAGTACCCATTAAAATGGGATACTGCTTAGAGGTACTTGGGAGAAATACCAAAATACTAGTAAGATTTTTTCCATGTGTGTGCTGCCTGGCTTAGGGAGATCAGAGTACAATGGCAGCTCATCTGCTTTCCACTGATGACATATCCACTAGGTCAGGACTTAATTGGTACCTTAAACACAGTAGTTAGTTCCAATAGCGAGCGCCGTGCAAAATCCAGCAGTTGAAGTATTTTCTGCCCAAAATTGCATGTTAAGGAGCTAAGAGAGGGAACTGGATGCTATTTGACCATCTGCTTTGTGGGTTGTCAGCTAAAAAAAATAAATTTAATTATTTATCTCAAGCATTTTAATTATTTTATCTGAGTATGTTTCAAAAGTCTTCTCCGGGACTTTCCAATGCACTGCTGAATTGTGTAGGAAGAAACAAATAGAATTTCAATTTATATGTCTCTGCACTAAATGACTTCAGCTGTGTTTTCCTCTGGTAATGGATGTGTGCAAAAAGTCAGCAAAGACTGCAGTTGAGAAGTAATGTAATGCAATTTGTAATGCAGTAAGGGAGATAAAATCTACAGTTTAACACATCAAACTCTTTAAGAATATTTTCTGTGCAGTGCACTCTTCTAATGGCCTCCTACTTCCTTTCAGTATTTCAAAGGGACATTGGGTTTGCAGCCAGGAGATTCTGCCCTGTTCATCAATGGACTACTAATTGATTTAGACACTCAGGACATATTTAGGTAGGAATGTTTTATTTTTCATAATAATTGTTTCCTGTTTAGAAGCTTTCATCCTGCTTGTGCGTGGATTATGAAGTTATTTAGCCAATTTTGAACCTTCTTCACAAAGTCTATATCTAGATTAGGTTTAATTGATAAGTACTGTAAAAAGGAAAGGTTCCTTCTCTTATTCAAGTGCATTTCTAACAAGAAAGCTAATGTGAAAATTAGAATACCCTTGAAGATTGAAATGGGAAGTCACCTTTGTACTGTTCTTTTGATCTGTTCTATGACTAGCAAGATTTTGATCTCCAAGGCTGTCAGCATACAGGTTTTATTCTGAAGATCGCAGACTAAGTCTCAAAGTATAAATCACTGTAAATTTTTCATCTGAAAACCATCCCATATCTTTGTCAAGATGTGTTTCAATAATGTGCAATTGAAATTATGTACGTATATCATGCATTAGTTATTCTGATTTACTGTCGCTTACCCTAGACATTGAATAAGTTAAAGTTATCTCAATTTTCTTAGGACAGTTAGAAACAGGTGATAAATAAGAACCCAGACATGGTAGACTTTTTTTATACCTTCCGTGTTAACCCTTAGGATAAGAGCAAGTTATTTGCCGTGTCTTTAAACTTCAACACCATTTTCCTTTTCCTTCCAGCTTGATCGATGTGCTCCGCAATGAAGCCCGTGTTATGGAAGGCCTGCACAGCTTAGGAATTGAGGGTCTTTCCCTGCACAATGTTCTGAAGTTGAACATCCAGCCATCAGATTCTGACTATGCTGTGGACATCAGGAGCCCTGCGATTTCGGTGCGTGTGGCTTTAGACAGCAGTACTCGGTTTGCTGCCGGGCAGTGCGTTCTTAAGCTGTCAGGGAACTTTTGTCCTTATCTCACAATCAGCTCTGAAACTGCAGTGAAGACAGAGAGGAAAATGAGGTTATAAATATAATTAGCTCTTTTTTAAAAGCTTAATTTTTTATTTATGCAGCGCTCAGTATAGCGTGTGATTTGCAAATATTTTACAGTCTCAGACCTGAGCAGGAGGAGTGTCAATCATTTAAATGCCTTTACTTTTTCTTAGTGGATCAACAATCTTGAAGTTGACAGTCGGTATAATTCCTGGCCTTCCAGTGTGCAAGAACTGCTGCGTCCCACGTTTCCAGGAGTGATCAGGCAAATTAGAAAAAACTTCCATAATTTTGTAAGTGGTAAACTGAGTAGAAATGAAATGTGCATTTTGTTTTGTCAAGAGCTGGGACATTAGCTTTTGAAATTTGCCTCGCATGTGTGCTGGATGCACTGTCACTCAGCTTGAGATAGGATGCTTTTCTAAAAGGTTTTATTCTACTTGTATTGGTAAGTTATGACTGAGATTCAGAGATTACTGAGCATCTTTGGCATCTACTATGTGCCAAAAATGCTTCATCAGTGGAGGAGACTATCATCTGTTGAGTATAAATTTGGTGTGTTTTGTGATAACACCTAAAGTTTGTTAATGAAATCCTTCAAATTTGTTAAATACCATCTTCTTAGCAGAATTCACAAGAACTTTAGTTGTTTCAGTTGTTTCAGTGCAATTATGCACCAAGACTTCAAAAGATGATCAACAGCCCTAACCTTATTCCTGGGTGTCTTTTTAGTCTCTAGGTAAATTACTTAAAATAAGATCTAATAAGGAGTTTATAAATTCTTCACTGTAATTCTTGGCGTGGGGCAGAGTGGCCCTATAGAAAAAAGAGCTCTGGTTAGGGGCAAATAGGGACTTGAACCACCTCAAGCTGTGGGCCTCATCTCCCTGGCAGTGTATAAAGTTGGACTGATGATAATTCTGCCCTGAGACTTGAATAAAGCAATCTCTGATCAAAACCTCCTTCTTCGCTTCTTAAGGGAATGGAAACTTTTCACTTACTATTTGTGTGCAGGTGCTGATAGTAGATCCTACTCAAGAGACCACAGCAGAATTACTGAACGTGGCAGAGATGTTCTTCAGTAACCACATCCCACTGAGGTAATTGCTGTGTTTTAATGTTTGGGGGGTTTTTACATCGGTTTTATTTTTGTGACTTTTGCAATTGTAAAATTCTCATTGCTAGGACACGGCAGAAATATTACATACCTTGTATTGGAGGTATTTTTTAAATTTAACTTCTGCTATTAGCAAAACAGAGTTCAGTTTCTTAGACAGTCCAAAAGAAATTTAAATTAAGTACTTTTGGATGAGAGAGAGACGAAAAGCAAGATTCTGATGGACTTGTTACAGTTTATATGTCCTAAGTTTGGTTCCTGGCTGCTCTGATCAACTTCTTACCAGGCTATCCCAGATAAAGCCTTTGTCTAAGATGATGGTTGTAGCTGACAGTTGTATGAAAAGTTGATTCTTTATTAGTGTAATAAATTGATGATCTGGGGATCTGTTTGATTGCAGGATAGGACTAGTCTTTGTGGTTAATGACTCGGAGGATGTTGATGGACTTCAGGATCCTGGAGTTGCCCTCCTTAGGACATACAATTATGTGGCACAAGAAATGGACAACAATTATGCTTTCCAGACTGTTATGTCTGTAAGTATTAATTTAAAAGGGAAATTAATGTTTTAATATTTTCCATGTATGTAAGATTATCTTAATGGGCTAACATGTAAATAATGGAAGGAATTGTTCTTTGACTTGGTTAGTATTCAGAGTATCTGCAAATACTAGTACCACGCAATACACGTGTCTTTGCAAAGTGCTTCTGACCTAACTTTATCAAGTAAGACTAAGTTTAAATATGACACTTAACACTTTTGCATGTTTTTTTGATCCTGATCCTGTCCCTTTGGTCATTCTGTCAGTGAGTTCTGAACTGATGCATCCCTTCAATATTATAATTTCGTTAGAATGGGTTCCAGCTGTGTACTTTTGTCACATTAAAGGATAATAAAGGTGCTGGTAAATGCATTTCACCTGTGGTTTGACATTTGTACAAACTGGCAAGCTGGGGCATTAAATTGCTGGTGACTTAAAGACAATGACTTTTATTCTTTTTTTGGGGGGGGTGGTGTATATTTGTAACTCAAAGTAAAATCTTGTGCCTTGAAGAGGGAAACAGTTATCTACTTTACATGTGAGGTCTGTTGTATTGTTTATAAGCATATCCCAGGTTCTGAAGGGACAAGTGGCTCCTTTGATATGCTTTACTTGAGGCTTTTTTCCGCAAAGCACTACTTTCCCCCCTCAAATACCTTTTCTAAGTAAAGGTGCAAGTTATTATGTAAAGAAATATCTATTTACCTTCTTCCAATCTCACTGGAATGACTACGAGGTATAGCAAGATAATTAGAATGGCTACAAGTGCTTAGGAGCTGTTATTGCAGCTAATAAATATGGATATGTGTTTTGCAATCTGGCTGTTAATAACTTATCACAACTACTCTAATACAGGTGACAGCATACCTTGATAAGGACTGAAGCTTTAGGGTTGCAGCTGTAAACTTGTATTCCCCTTTCAGATATATAACAAAGTAAAAACAGGAGATCAGCTGAAAGTGGAGCACGTGGTTAGTGTTCTTGAGAAACAGTATCCTTATGTCGAAGTCAACAGCATCCTGGGAATTGATTCTGCCTATGATCAAAACAGAAAGGTAAGAATTCATGAAATAGAGCTTTTTTCCACCTTTTTTGCTTAAATACCGTTTTAAAAATCTAGTTACATACAATTTCTTGATCCAGTTCTCTTACCAACCAGGGAACTGTTTTGTTATCACATTGAGTGACTTCTGTGCTCAGCACAAGCTTTATATAATATACATAATACGTATAATGTAATACATATTTTTTAAAACCTATATGTATAGTACCAAGGTAACTTCCATGTAACTCCTAAGTCATACTTTCATTCTGGAATGCAGACTTCAGTAGAGCTTAAAATTGCTAGAAAAAATCAAGGTAGTGGAATGGCTCATGGGAAAACCACGAGGCTTAATGTTGGGAGTAATTGGTGTGGGGTTTCTGTATCAGTATTTGAATACTGTGTGAGATAAAGCCATGATGATGAATTCAAAATGCCTTTCCTATATCAAGGCATTCAACAATCTTCTGCAAATAATTCTTGAAGTTATTTTTAGGGCTGATGCTATTCTGTGTGGAGAGGATTGGGAGAACAAATCACTATTGGACCACTTATATGTGAGATGAAGCAGATTTTATTTGAGGTTCTATAGGGGAATGTTTCTGGTTTTGTTGCATATTCTATAACAAATAATGAAAATACTGTAGCTATGTAACACACATGATGCTGCCTACATATGTAAATGTAAGGAATGCAGTCAGGGTTAGAGATGAAGGCTCATATGCACACATGCTTTCCATCTTCCATGGATATGGATATTATTTAGGATAGTGAAGGGAAAAGCCTTCTGAGGAAATGAAAATCCATAAGAGTAAGAGATTTTTGTATGACAGGAGAGGCCTCAACCAGAACCTTTAACCAGTAGAACCTGATTGACTTCTGTCCCTAACAGAGTGTCAGTGACAGTGCCTTTTGCAACAGTTACATGAAAAGAGGAAATTTGTCTTGACATAATAACCCCCTGCTCCACAAGTAAATATTTTCTCACAGGTTTGAGAAACACATTCTTAAAAAAAATAAGAAAATTCTCTACCCTGTCTTGTGTTACAGCTGTCACTGCTCTCGTTGCATTTGCTTTTACAGGCAAAGTCAGATTTCCTGTTGTGCATTTTCTGCTATTACCAGAAAGCGCTCATTGGAATTAATTCACAATATGAACCTGGGGAGTATTTTGCATTTATTTCTGTGTTATGAAGTAACTTTCTTTGCTTTGAAAGTCAAGACGCCTCGTGCATGTAAGATACAGAGTCTTATGCACTGTGTAAAATTAATGTTCTCTATATCACACAGAAGCTGTAAGGATCTCTTGGTGTGTGTGGAATAGACTTGAGGATCTTGCATGGCTCGTTAGGAACCTTCGTGGGCTGACGTGGTAAAGCCTCTTCTTTTCCTGTCTTTAGGCAGCAAGAGGTTACTATGAGCAAACAGGTGTGGGCCCTCTCCCTGTTGTGCTGTTCAATGGAATGCCTTTTCAAAAAGATCAGCTGGATCCTGATGACCTGGAAACCATGACAATGCACAAAATCCTGGAAACCACAAGCATCTTCCAGCGAGCTGTGTACCTGGTAGGTGCTGAGTTCAGCTGTGGCTTTAGAGAGAAATTGGATTTGGAAAAACTGATTCACAAGTCCCTAAATACATAATATACAAGAAAACTTAACTGGCATCATTGCTTTTTACCCTTTTTTTTTTCTTAGGTTATCTAAGGCAGTTATATATGTGAAGTAATGAATCCTGCTTCTTTCATCTTTCCTTCAGGGTGAACTATCTAATGATCAAGATGTGGTTGAGTATATCATGAACCAGCCTAATGTTGTTCCAAGAATTAACTCAAGAATCCTAACATCTGACAGAGAGTACCTAGATCTGACAGGAATGAGTAAGAGATGCTTTTAATTGCATTAAACCTGAAGTATCTGAGTCAAAGACTTTTGCTGTCTCAATGGAAAGCTCTAGTGGCAAATCACTAACACCACCCCAAGTGATGCTCTAACTGTGGTTCAGGGGAGATGTTATGTACAACAGCAACATTAATGTCTACATCTTTTCAAATTAGGAATTTGTTTTGATTTTATACAAACCTTGGGGGGAATATGACTCATAAACTTGAGAAATTAATAATGCTGGGAAAAACCAAGAACAGTCGTATAATGCATATTTTCTATGACTGCATAATGCACAATGTTTTATGATGCATACTGTTTTATACGGCAGCTTGTTTCTTAGTTCTAGCCTTCTTCTGAGCAAGGGTTAACAGTCATTTCTGGAATTACTTCAGATTTAGCAGAACTTTCCATGACTAAATGTTTGAACACCCAGTGCAGTGACATTTTAATGACAGTACAACTGCCTTTTCTGAGTTGCTTGAAAAATAGTTACACAGGGGATTTTTAAATATATATTATTTACATATATTAGCATCAACTAAGTGAGACTTGGACAATTCTTTTGACTGACTTCTGCCTATCAAATATGCAATGCAGTTGTTAAAGTAACTTGTGAGACAACAAAATATATTTCTCAGCCTGTGTATTAACAGACATAAAAAGCGATATTATAAGAAGTGAAATGGGATGTGTTCTTAACGTTCTGGTAATAGTAGTGATTTTTCTTTCATTTTAAGTGAACTAGTTGCTTTGGCATCTTATACTTGTTCTCTTCCTCCAGATAACTTTTTTGTGGATGACTTTGCTCGATTTACCACGTTGGAGTCTAAAGATAAGACAGCTGCTGTTGCAAACAGCATGACCTACTTAACAAAGAAAGGTAACATCTGCAGTGGATTATGAACCCAAATCTTATGTGTGTTTCCAAGCATGTGTACAGTTCTCAACACACACTCTGAGCCTTGGTCAGGCCTGTGGGTAATGGTGCAATCTAAATGTTAAAAAGAAAGATTTTATTTTTTTTTTTTAATAAGACATGACATCTGCATGGAACAAGAACGTACCCCTCTTTAAACCCAGCCCAACATTTTACTGAATAATGAAGTCCCACTCAACCTGCTCCCCCTGTACTGTGACCTGCAGAAATGCAGCAGTGTAAGCTCTGATCCTGCAGTGACAATGACTAGAAAAATATGAAAGGGGTTCTAGCTCTCTGTCTCATAATTCAAAATTCCTAAAAGTTACATGGATTCAGAAGGTAATTGTTACTGCCCATTATATAAGACAGCACCTAATGTGTTTGGTGCTGTTTTTATTGCCCCAGTGTATGAACTGCTTTTTCAATGACAGTATTGTCACAGTTACACATAAAGTCTCCCATCAGTGTTAAAACTCAGCTGTACCTTTCAGTGTAGGAAATGCATGCACAGATATGATACAGAGCCTAATCAGGCTTACTCAGACATCATCAGGCCTTTCCTATATCCATTTCAGTTAGGTATCAGAAATAAGCTGCTGTCATTTGACTCAATTCTTCTTGTTCCTGACTCTCCCAGGTTTCCCCAGTACTATCTCCAGCCACTGTCACCTGTGTGCACTACCTGGAATGTTCCCATTGTTCTTTCTGTCTCGTGTTTGCCCTTGGTTCATGTTCAGTCACTTGGATCTGTACAAGTTTCTTGTTTTGCCTTTGTAGAGCATTAATTAAACCTACACCTCTGCATGCTCATTTGAAAGTGCATTAATTTGCAATTTCATGGCTTGACATTTTTGGGTCACTGCCTTTTCTGTCACTTAAGATATTTAATAGCTGCTACCTGATTACAGTAATGCTGTAGCACATTTATTTTCTAAAATAATAGGGAAGTTATAAGTATTGCTGGCTCAGCACCAGCTCTGATAAAGCACTGCCATGCTGATTTTTAAAGAGGGAAGATAAAGGGTCACATCCAAGTCACGATGGTATGGCAGTGTTTCAAAATGATCTTCAGAATGATGCCCTCACCCAACCATATGTGTAGTATAACTAATACTGCAGCATGAAAATATAACATCCATCTATCTGAGGGGAAGAAAAAGTCAAAGCTTTATTCTAGTAAAATCAGCACAAACTTGTTGCTTGTTGGATTTGAACTGTAGTGATTCAACTGTGCCCAGTACAGTACTGCAACTTCTTGATACACATAGGGATTATTATCGAATTATTAATGTCTCTCTCCTTTCCCCCTTTCCTTTCTGCTTTTTGACCAGGAATGTCTTCCAAGGAGATCTATGGTAACTCACTCTTTGGCATTTCATATGTTGTTCTGGGAATTTTTGCTTCCTTTTTAACTCTGGCTTTAGAACCATCAGGGAATGAAGCAAGCTGCTGTTGAAATGCATGTTTGCTCCAGCACTTTTGTCTCTATACAAAACTGATTTTGTAAACTAACATCTTCGGTGCAAAGATGTGGTAGGTCTGTACCCTAGTTGGAATCTGCAAGTTATTTATAGGTTTCTTTATAATTTGTAATTAAAAAGGCAGCAAACAAACAAAAACACTAAAAGAATCCAGCTTAGGAAGAGTGATGCATGCTGACCCACGTGGGTTTTTCGAATGACCTAATGAAAATTAATGTATCAGTACCATTATTCTTGTCTTGCCAGGCTTCATAGCTTAGCTTCATCCATAACTTTCCTATGAAATTTTACTCTTTTTGAATTCTTTGCATGTGCATTATAGTTTACCTCCAAATGATGAAAAACAGAAGCTTTCCTTCCCTCCACCCTCCAATTTCTCCTGCCATTTTTTTTTTTTTTGTAATTGCAGATGATTCCTTTGTTAGACCAGTTACTTTTTGGATTGTTGGTGATTTTGATAAACCTTCAGGGAGGCAATTGTTGTATGATGCCATTAAACATCAGGTGGGTAATGTTTTCATTGAAATGGGTTAGCAGTGCTAACAAAGCACTTGGTAGAATCTTGAAAAACACAAGTTGTGTATGACCTGAGGAGACTGGATTTCTCTGCAGGGTCTCCAATTTCCAGCCTCATCTTTTTTGTAGGGGCTGAAACATCGCTGATCTTGTGTTAGGACAGAATTCCCTCTTGGCACTATGCTAATACAATAAAAATGTTCTTTTAAGCCCATGGTGTTCAACTGAAAGGTCTGTGTTGTAGTTTGGAGATGAGCGTAAGCATTGCTCTCTGCTCTGTCTCATTTCTTTTGGGAGGATAACTGAATCATAAAAGCACACAGCTTACTGCTAAATCACTGATTTGCCAGACTCTGAGTGGTGGTCCTAGATCTCCTATGTAGCACAGGATTATCTAGAAGATTCCTGTCACACTGGTGCCTATACATAAGCTAAATACTTGATGTTAAATTAGTTCATTCATAGTTTTAACCTTGTGCTTTACTTACCCAATTTAGAAGCTGATTTTCTGGTTAAGAAATGCAAGGCTTTTGCTATAGTGTTATTACAATAGCTGCATTCATCTCATTTAAACCCCACCTGCAATCTAAAACTTTCTCAATGCTTGTTTTGTTAAACACAGAAATCCAGCAATAATGTTCGAATTAGCATGATTAATAATCCTAGTGAAGATCCCAACAGCCAGAATACAGTTGTTGCTAAAGCCATATGGGCAGCTCTGCAGACACAAACGTCAAATAATGCCAAGAACTTCATCACCAAGATGGCAAAAGAAGAAACTGTGAAGGCATTGGAGGCAGGAGCTGACATCTTGGAATTTGCTGTTGGGGTAAGCATGTCTGTTGGCATTTGCAAGGGTGAGGTGCTTTGCTTGTTCCTCTAATGAGTTTTTTAGTGTAGTATATTCCTATGCAGAAGGTGCAGTAACAATGGAGAGTAACACTGTTGGGTTTGCTTACTTGTTTTTTTTAATCTCTGGTAACTAAACTTACCTAAATATAACAGTTCATTGAAACATAAAGTAAATCTTCAAACACATCAAAGCTATGTAACTTCGAAAAGTCAAAAGAAATGTCACTTCAGGGATCTCTTAAAGGGAGTAATTTTTTTCTTGGGTGGTTAAGAGAGGGATTTTTTTTTTAAAGCTGAGGAAAAAATGACATTTCTCAAAGTATGTTTAAAAAATTTAGACAAGAATCACTTAAGAAGAATGGAAGTGGTCTAAGTAGCTGTGACCCTTCACAGCAGAAGTTGGGATAATGTTTGAAGGTGACAGGCAAAAACTAGGCTCAAGACCACAAAGAAAAGGGGGGCAGGGATCAATTTTAGCAGGATATGAAGATATTCTTGAGTGTAAACAAAAAGATGCATTTTAAAAAGTGTGCTGAAGTCAGCATTTCTTCCTATTTCAATGTCAATTATTATCTTTCAGGGTATGGATACCAATATTTTCAAAGAAGCCTTTGAATCTCCCAAGGTGGATTTTATTCTGTCCCATGCAATGTATTGCAGAGATGTTCTAAAGCTGAAGAAGGGGCAGAGGGCTGTGATCAGCAATGGACGGGTGAGATCAATCAGCAGACAGTAAAAGAGAGATTCCACATGTGGGAAAGCAGCTGATCCTGAGCAACAGAGTTTGGGGACCAGACACAGGAGTCTCAGCCTTTTTCAAGTCTCAGCAGCCTTTAGGATTCATTCAGACCTATGCGACTTTTTCTTTGTGCTGTGTGCAGTTAGTTGTTGGTGTTTGGTACAAATTCAGATCTCTCAGTAAAAGAGTTCCTTTCATGCTGGCAGTGAATTGAGTCCAGGGGTGGAAAAGGCTGGTAGATTTGAAAGATTGTGCTGCTTCAGTTCACTGGACAAGATGCTGCTGTATCTGGCCCTGACCACAGTGCCTTGATCTCTGCCACCAGCTCTTTTTATGATAGTTTATCTTAGATAAGGTAAATGATGTTACAATAGTATTTCACTGCAAATAATGAAACCCAACTATGTACAGCATTGTGTTTTCTTTTGTCATCTGCTTCCTAGTTAGGAAAAATCCCATGCTGGTCCTAGTGGTTACTGTATGCTTCAATGGGTTAAAGGTCTCAGGTGGTGAGTTTGGTATTCTATTTCTCTCACTAGCAAAACAGCAAGACTTTTCTAGGTAGCTTTTAGGCTTCTGAAGGCTAGAGGAGGGACATTTGCTGGAGTCTTGCTAGACTACTGGAATTGGCCTGGTATTCTATTGCCCCTTCCAGATGTAGTATTGCATGTATAATTTATTATGCATTTTATGCCTTAGTTTGGGACTCCTGGCTCTAAATAGCTAGATTTACCTGTTAAACTCTGCTGCCATTGCTGCAGTGTGAACAGTTGGCTCCCACTGAGATTAAGCTGGAGTATTTATTTAAATTCATCTTTGAATTTTATTTCAATGTAGCCTTTACCTAACAATGGTGATTCTACTTTTTTTTTTTTGGTAGATTATTGGCCCATTAGAGGATGGTGAGATGTTCAATCAGGACGATTTTCATCTCCTTGAAAATATCATACTGAAGACATCAGGCCAGAAAATCAAATCTCAGATTCAGCAGCTGGGATTCGAAGAAGATCTGTAAGTAAATGTGAGGAGGCTTATAAAAAGGTGCTGGTACTCTGATAACATGACTGTCTGCAGCCTGGAGAAAGCTTTGTCGAGTACACTCTGGGTGGGTGCTACACTTGTGTTCCTGTGGTCAAGGCTCAGCTCTTCAGAGGGCAAGGGAGAAGGGAAAAAGGTGTAAATTATTTGGTTTAAAGTGCCTTAGTGACTTCTCTGTAGTTCACCGTCTCCTGGAGCTGTGACTATCCCCGAGATTCAGGAGGCCATTCTGACACCCTGACTGCACTACTGTGCTCACAGCTCATCATTCTGGAGGCATCATCTGTATGTAGTACAACCTGCCATGGCTGGTCCGTTGCCTTGTACTGGAGATTGCAGAAATTGTGTTGGCTGGAGCCTCACTGAGGAGCAGCAAGAAACTGGGAAAGTGCCCGAGTCTGTTGGAATTTACTATGGAATGTTGAAATGAACGTGAAACTGTAAAAGCATTGGCACTTGCTGAGCTGGTCCCTGGATCACGGCAGCAAGGGCAGCAACAGCCTGCAGTGTTACCTGAGGAGTTCAGGAGGTGGATGCTTGGATTAGGGGCAAGGAGGGATACAGGTGGACTGAAAAAATCCTGGGGGTGGGGATGCATTGTGCAGGGGCTGGCTAAATTGACTGCTGTGCTCAGCTAGATGAAGTTCCATTCAAGGTTTAGTTATTTGCTGCTGTGAGATGAGTTATAAAGTGGTATAAACTGCATTTATTCTTCAAAATGGTTTATGCACTGGATTACCTTTTGGCTCCTCCAAAGGACAGAGAAGCCTAGCTTCTCATTAGTCCTAAGGCCTTCAGACTACTACTGTTTTTTTTCCCCTGGCTAAATCTTACCTGACACACTGTTTTAAATCAAGTGCCTCTAATATGTCAGTGTTTAATAACTCATTGGTAAGGTTACTACAGTAGATTTAAAAGCAGAAAGAAGGGAAGCAAGTGAGACAGTGGAGTACACTTTCTGAATTTGTTAAGTGCTTCTTGGCTTATAAACATAAAAGTTATTGTAGTAATATATTTCCCTATCAGTATTATGGAATCATGTCAACTGCTTTTAACTTTTTAGAGAGAAACACTAGGAAAAGAGGCAGAGATGAGAAAATAAAAGTCATAGTTCTAGATAGTTATTGCACAAAGCATAGAGGTGAACTAATCAAAAGAAAGTCATCTTGAAGTTCAGAAGAACAGGAGTCCCCTGTGTTTGTGTGTTGGAGCTCAGAGCTGTGGAGATAGTTTGTCCCATATTAAGCATCACAGTTTTCTATGGTGCTGCTTGATTGTTAAAGGCTGGTGGTCAATTATGTTAAGCATGAGGTCTGTTCTGCAGAAGTCTTGTGTTATTCTGAATCCTAGGAGAACAGGTTTTAACAGCATTCCAAACACTTTTGCATCCACTGCTATGTTGGAAGGAGTTTGAATATAGGCTACTTTTGGACAGAACAGTGGGTTTTTGGTTTTTTGTAGGTTTGAATGCTGCAAAAGTTTTTCAAAAGCTTTTGAAATTATCTACTGTGTTGGAAAAACACTGTAGAACTTGGCAGATTTCACCAGGCTTGTGGGTTTGGTATGAACAATTTGAACAGCTGTAAGTCTGTGAGACTTACTTAACTCAGGAAAAGCTGACAGACCTTTAAGTTACAGTATTGCTTCTTGGCAAAAGCACGATGCACAAATCAATTTTTGTTGAACTTTCAAGAGGTTTTACATCTTCAAGATGGAATGTATTCTTAAAATACGAGACTGAAAATTTATGGGAATAATAAAAAGGGAGAAGTTGTCAAAAGAATTATCTTTTATGATAGGACCCCTCTCTCTCTCAAAAGTTTCTCCACATACAGAATTGCTTCCTAGTGCTTAGAGTTACAATGTAAATTGGGAAGATCACTATGGAACAAGGGTTTGAGAGTTTGGTGCAGTTCAGGAATGCAGTGCCTGTAAGATAGTTGACCCCTAAAATGCTAAAATACCCCTAAAAATACAGCTCTTCTGTATTTGTTAGAGTTAAACCCTTTGGCACCCTCAGTAATAAGGCTGCAACCTGTTCAAATTACTGGTGGATTAACCATTAAATATGTTTAATTCTTCAGAGCTTGTGTAGGGAGGTAGTAGAAGTGTTTGTGTATCTGAATTCTGTCTGCCTTCTCTTTTGCTGCTGACTGGCAGAAATGTGATAAGTACAGGCATTTTTTTAAGATCTGCAAACCTTTCTTTTCCTTCTTTTCAGGGCAAGTGACTTGGTAATGAAAGTGGATGCTCTTCTTTCTGCTCAGCCAAAAGGAGAGGCAAGGATTGAGTATCATTTTTTTGAAGAACAGTACAGGTATAGGATTTCTGGCATTTGCTGAACAATATGCTTTTCTGTGCCTTTTAATTTTCCTATTGTTTTATGTTGCATTTAGTTCTTAAAAAAACTCTTAAGTAGCAATTGGAAAGTCCCCAACAGTTTTCAGGAAGAAAAAATTCCAGAAATTAATTTTATCTGCCTACCTCTCTCTATACACATGTATGCATATACCTATTTTTTCCTCTGTCTAGTTTCAGAAGGTGCACAGCATTTAAAGAAGCAATTTGAGTTCAGAAAGAGATGGACAGTAGTGATTTTCATATGTTTATCCATATGTTTGATACTTCAGAATTGTGTTTTCTTCTGTTTAGTGCAGTTAAACTGAGACCAAAAGAGGGGGAGACTTACTTTGATATTGTGGCTATTGTTGATCCTGTGACCAGAGATGCTCAAAGACTTGCTCCGTTACTTTTGGTATGTGGGCAGTGTTGTTATGCACTTCAAAAGTTTGTCTCAGTTCTGTCATTTTGAAATGTTCATCTTCCTCCTTAACTGGGTGGTGACCAGTGGCCTTCTAATAGTTGAGCTGCACAATACATTTATTGGTGGAAAAACTAGTTGGGCTGTACTACACACTAACAAAATCGTGCTGAGGTATTGTCTTGAGAGCTTTTAGTTTCACTGTTTGAACAGTTTAGTTTGCAATTACTCTGTTCTTGAGGAAGAAAGTCTCAGCATGCCAAAAAGAGTGTCTGCAATGGGAGGAGCAGGTAACTCTTCTTAAAACCACCAATTAAGAGTTGAGTGTGGTAAAGCAATCATGAGAAGGGAGGATTGGGAACGAGCAGGTAACATGCCTCCCTGAGGTCCTGTTTATAAAAGCAGTGGTCAGCTTTCCTCATTAGCATTTTAAGGGATGTCTCTTTCTCTTTACTTTAGGTTTTGAACCAGTTGATAAATATGAACCTGAGAGTGTTTATGAACTGCCAGTCCAAACTTTCTGACATGCCACTGAAAAGGTAAGCAATTCCATGCCAGGGTTAAAGAGAGAGAGAGAGTAAAACCTGTTGGAATGTGCAAGCACAGGAGCATGGTCAAATGTCCTATAGGAAGTCTCAATAACTGCTTTGAGATCATTTATATAATAGCATAATTTCCCAGAGAGAATCTGGGAATTTGTGGACAGCATGAGGTAATTCTGCTGGTTTACAAGTTGGGTGCCTTTATTCATATATATAAAAAATTAAATAACTTACTAATCTTAATGATTGAATCTTGCACGTTCTTGTTTGGTCCTTCAAGAAGGAAATTCTGACCTGTTCTAAGGTCAACACAACCTATGTTGCTTTGGACAAAGCCTTGGAGACATTGGAGGCCAGGGAAAGCTGAAGCCATCTGCAAGTTCAGTGAGAGTGAAATATTAGCAAAGTTTGGCAGAAATGTGTTCTAACATTTTCTTTCCAAAATTTCAGCTTTTATCGCTATGTTTTGGAGCCAGAGATTTCCTTCACAGCAGAGAATAACTTTGCTCCAGGACCTATTGCCAAGTTTTTGGATATGCCCCAGTCTCCACTGTTCACTCTGAACCTAAATACCCCCGAGAGCTGGATGGTGGAGTCTGTCAGAACCCCCTATGACCTTGACAATATTTACTTAGAGGAGGTAAGAGAAACCAGTATTTTCCCACTACTGCATTTAAATGGTGGTGTTTTTCCAGGGCTTATTTTTGTTATGGGAAAGAAATGTAGAATTTTAAAATGCCAATAAACATAGAACTGTGGATATTTGCAGACCTCTAAATTCCAGGAGGGATGCAGGGAAACCTAAGCTCCCTGACAGCAAGATTGCTGTTCTCAATTCCTCATGGATGCCTGAACCAGAGGTTCAGAAATACTGGTGGCTTGAAGCAGGACCTTTGCCTTGCTCCAAGAAGCCACCAAGCTGGTTTCAGCCACCTGTTCATTTTCCCAGCTTTTGTTACTGACAAACATTCCTGTGGCCCACAAAAGGACATGCAATATCAATACAAGAGTAAAACCATGCAGCAGAAATCTGCCCAGCTGCTGTAGGTTCAGGGGCTCACAGCTGTTTGAACGGGCCTTGAAGCACACTGTTAAACTATGGATCTGGGCAGTGCTGCCCCCCATACATGGGAATAAATAAAAAAACTGTCTGTTGCACGTGTAATGAGACTGTCAAACCCCTTATAAATAGGCCTCTGGAAAAGCAGCAGTCTGTACAGCCTTGTGGTCATTACAAACATGGGTTCCTTTCTCACTGAATGTTTATTGTTAGTCTCCTCTTATTTTTGCATCTCTCTAATATTGTTTGGGAATATGATGCATTATTGTGGTATATTCTGATATTCCTAATCCTGTACTAGCTATTCAGAAATCTAGAAAACCGGGTGTGGTGTTGTGTGGTTTGGGTTTTGGTTTGGTATTTCTGGGTTTAGGACTTTTTTTGCTTTTCATCTCTTAACTGTAAAGCCCTTAATGAACCACTGATATTGCTACACATTTCAAGCCTCTGATTCTCAAGCCCACCCCTTAGATAAATTGAAAGCCTGAGAGAGGGGGAGATAAAATGCTTCAGGCATTCGAAGTGCCATCCTGAGCTTCCAAATAAACAGCAGCTTTACTTTTGCAGGTGCACCATTTCCAGCTCCCAATATCCAGTCTGTTGGTGCTGTAGCAATTAAACTGTCCTTTTGGATGTGCATGAGAGAAGATGCTTTGTGAGATTAGACTAATATTCTGCTTATGTACTGTCCTCAGGCTACATCTGAATTTAGCCTGGTAGGGACCCAAGTTTTTTGGGTTTGTGGGGGGTGTTTTTTTTATTCTTCTTTTCTTGGCACTTTAGTTTGGTGTAGAGAAAAAGAAATTGATGTTTCTTGACAGTACCTTACGCACTGTAAGAGTAACACAAAGCAAAACAAAATGCATATTTCCGATGGTTAATATTAGGTGAGACCAGTTTTAAACAGATTTACAGTCAAGGTTCTGGAGCCCGTCATATACCTTTTATGAAACGCCAGAGTACATTCTCTGGTAAATGTTAAAAAAAATTAAAATTGTGGAATAGAGCAACAATCCTTCCCTTTTCTTATCCTAGCATATTACCAGTTGAGATTCAAATTTATTTGGTCAGGGCCACTCTTAACAATATTTGTGTGAAATTTGTCACTAGAAGGAGCTGAGATCTTGGAGGCTTTCTAGATATTTGTTGAATAATAAAATTACTCTGGTAAAATTATGACTAAAGGACTAAAAATTGGCACTTCAGAGCTAGTGCTGTAGCCAGCAATATGTGTTCCTTACAGGTGGATAGCGTCGTAGCTGCGGAATATGAACTGGAGTACCTGCTGCTGGAAGGCCACTGCTATGACATTACTACTGGGCAGCCACCTCGAGGACTCCAGTTTACACTGGGGACTTCAACCAGCCCTGTCATCGTTGATACCATCGTTATGGCCAACTTGGTAAGTGTTCCACTGAAACGGGCAACAGCTCACTGGTGCTCCAGTCAGCACAGCCACTTGCACAACCCTCTGAGGATTTTCTGGTGTGGGGGTTGTGGGTATGGGTTGTTGCTTGCACTCCACAGATGTCTCCAAATACATCAGAAGCACATCGCTTCTAACACTGGCTGAAACCTTGCAGTGTTTGTGCTGTCTCTTACCTTTTTCAGGATGTGCTCTTTTCCCTTCAGCTGGCTGAGAAGGGTCTTCTGGAATGCCTTAAAATGCTGCCAGTATTGCTAAGCAACCTCTTTCCAGGGAAGGTCAGACAGCTGTTTTTCCTAGTTGTGGTACCCCTTAGGCCATCTACTCTGGTACTGTGAGCCTCAGGTGGATGGCTGTCTTGTTTTGGGGCCCATTTCTTCAGGAGATCTGTGGAACAAATGGAGAGAGTCAGCAAGTATAGCCAACATTGTAGAAAGTAAAGGAAGTGTGAAAGAATGGGAATTGCTTATTTTAGTTGAGAAAAGGTGCTGGAAATCCAAGCATATGACTGGTCCCTGCAGCTGCCTTTGTAAGGTCACGGGATAAGGGATCAGTCTGTTCCCAGTCTCCACACTGGGCTGTGGGAGAGGTAACGGACTGAAATCATGGCTAAGGAAGTAAGTCACTGGAATGTTTTCATGAGATGTAATGTTACTGTAAAACTAGAGTAAATTGACTCCTGTGTTGTTTTTTTTTTGAAATCTTTAAAGGTATTAAAGAAAAAAAAAAGGAAAAAATATTCACTGATGCAAAATACTTATTTTTAAATTCTTACGCTCATTTTCTCTTTGTCTGCGCCTTTTCTTAGCCAGAACATATCCTAGAATGGTGTAGTATTTCTGCCTGTAGAAAGGAATGCGTCCCTTATTTTACATGTGAACACACTGTGTGTGTGTATGTTGGGAAGTAAAGCTTACTGGCTCAGAGGTGTCCTTTTTCTAATTAGCTAAACCAGAGTGTTGGTACCACAGGGTACAATGCTGTATCTGGGAGTTCTCTTCCTCAGTGTCTGTACTGTGCAGGGGCATCAAGAGACCAGGAAGACGCCCTGTGCCATTTTTTTAAATATTTTTAAATTTTGTTTTTATAGTAGATTGGTTTACATAGGAAGTGCAAGCTTTTGGGGCCACAGTACAAAACTGGATGGGCCACTGAAGCTGTTTATATCTTCTATAGGTGTAATGATCTAAATCACAGAAGAATACTCACATCTGGAATCTGAAGCTTCAACTAGAATACAATATTTGAATTTCATGTTGTAATTTTTTAAGTTCTGTAGAAGACGTGTCTTGTAACATATGAATTATATTACTGTTTCCTGCTGTAGATAAAATACCAGTTTGTTAAGCTTCAGAATTCTTTTAGATTTTGTTGTCTACTGCTGTGTAGTTACCAACTAGTGTTTTGAAATTCCCTCACTCCTTCATGAAGGCAAGCTTTTGCAGAAAAAGACTTTGGGATTGCACTGTTCCCATCAGAACACTCTGAAAGTTTTTCTCTCATCTAACAAATAATGCTACACCTCTACATACTCCTGTTTTGAATTTTGTATGGAATTTTTTGGGGTTTTCTCCTGTTCTCTGGGTTTTAAAGCCTTAAGGTTGTGTTAATCAGCTGACTTGCAAATAACTTTTCAGGTATAAAACAGTGAGTAAAAATACATGACTTAAATTTTTCTGCATTTGCATTTTCTGGAAACTAACAAATATTCTTTTCACTTTCCAGGGTTACTTCCAGTTAAAAGCCAATCCTGGTGCATGGACTCTAAGACTGAGAAAGGGCAGATCTGAAGATATTTACAGGATCTACAGGTAGGACAGTATAAGAAATACTTCAGCCTTTTTCTTATGAAACTTCTCAAGTAGGTAGGCATTGTAATATGCGAATCTAACTGTTCCCTTGCCAAAGTGTAGTGACTTGAACAGCAAATTAAACAGCAAATTACATTTCATACTGAACATAAGTTATGCAAGATGCAATTAATTAAAAAACTCAGTAAGTGTGTTGAAATACGTGTATTTGTTACTTTGTCGCATATCTCAAACCTGTTTTACAGTGTTGAGGCTTAATACATGTAGAAAAATGTGCAGAAGAAATAAAAACCATATTTCTGCTTTGTAGTAAAAGCGAGTATTTTACTGTATTTTCAGCCACGATGGCACAGACTCTCCGCCTGAGGCTAGCGAAGTTATTATCGTTCTCAATAACTTCAAGAGCAAAATTATTAAAGTGAAGGTGAGTTTAAAAACTGGAGTTGCTCTTAGAAAGGACTCTTTCACCAACAGTAGGGAATAAACTGATTAAAGCCTGATCTCCCTTCCCACAAGCCCACACTTGAGTCAGTCTACACAAAGCTCACATTATGGTATCAGTGATAGAGAACATTATCTGTAGACTTGATTTGGGCTTTTGATACAGGGGAGAATGACTTTAAGTGCTGTTCCTTTTGTATGTCCCCGAGAAACAATTATACTCATGTTTTCCTGACCTAGTTGTGCTTGTGGCTTCAGGAAAAAGCAGTTTTATATGACATCTATGTGTCTGTGCCAGTATTTTATTTGTTACAGATAAATTTTATTTGTCTGGCAATACATTTTGTATCAGTCTGACACAGAGTGGGTGAGAATACATTTTTAAAAAGATAAAAATGTTAAATTACTTATCTACTGCCTCTTAGGGTTGCCAGCCAGGTAATGACAAAGCTGAGAAATTTAAGGAGGACAACTGATAGATAAGTGATGGCTATAACACAGTCAGTTCACACTTCCTGACAGCATTTGCTTGTGCCTGAGTAATTCTGGAATGTTCTCCTGATTCACTGCCTATGTATCTGCTTTGAAGTCTTTTTTTTCTTTGTTTTTTTTTGTTTGAGGTGTGTGTGTTGGTTTCTTTGAGGGTTTTTCTTTGCCAGTCTCAATCATCAAGGTTGCTCACTAAACACCTCTTAGGAAAGCATTTTAACCATTCAGACTAAGGTGCCTTTGGTGTCTAAAAGCAGCTGTGGAATCCCTTTGGAAAATGTCACTTCACTTAGCTTTTAGGTTACCTGTCAGCTCATGGGGCATAATTCAAACAGGTACAAACAGAACCAGGTACAAACAGAACCAGTGTCAGGATAACATTTGCCCAATATATGGATCCACTCACTAAAGCCATGTTGTGCCCTACAGGTTCAGAAAAAGCTTGATATGATGAATGAAGATCTACTAAGTGATGGCACCAGTGAGAATGAATCTGGATTTTGGGAATCTCTCAAATGGTAAAACTAATTCAATGATAACCTACAAGTCTCTTGAAACTGTAAAACTATTTGACAAAGCCATTATGTCTGTGATATTCCACAGCTGTATCTGCATTTTCTGTATCTGCAGCCTTTCCTAAACACCTGGCCCTTGCTATCTTGTCCTTCATGTAACCATATTTGTCCTTTCAGGGGATTCACAGGAGGACAAAAGAATGAAGATGTGAAACAGGATAAGGATGATGTACTAAACATATTCTCTGTGGCTTCAGGACATCTATATGAGAGATTCCTACGGTTAGTTCAGAATTTGTAATCCAGGGATGTCAAGTGATAATGTGACCTGCTTTGCACAAGGAAAATGTGTAGCATTTGCAAGAGTATAAAAAAATCTACTGTATCATAGGAACTTTTGTCTGCAGAATATTCATGAGTTCAAATAGTTTCATAGATGGTGTGTTGCTGTCCTAAATTTTCTCACTACAATGTAACTAATCTGTTGTTAAGAAGTTACAGTCATAGTTGCTTTGCAAAAGGAATCTAACTTCTGTTCTTAAAGGACTGTGAAAGGCAACAGGTCATATATTCTCTAACAAGTTAAAATATACAGATGTGGGGGGTTAGTAATTTTGTAGATAAAATCAGGCAATTTACAATAGGTTGAAGCTACCCACTTTTTCTTCATGTGTGAAGGTTAGTTACCTGACACATAATTGCAAATAGTTTAATCAAGTAAACCAACAATTAGTAATTGTTACAGAGCTTGTCTCTAGTGGGTGGCAGCTTTTCCTGTAACTGCTTAATTTATTTTTTTTTTTGATAGCATAATGATGTTGTCTGTGCTGAAACATACCAAGACTCCTTTAAAGTTTTGGTTTCTGAAGAACTACTTATCACCTACATTCAAGGTTTGTTACTAATTAGAAATTTATTCAATGATGGGGAATAAATGCCACAATCTGCTTCTCCCTCCCTTCCCAATGGCTGTGTTGTACCAGCATCCCTTGGAATGCCTCAGATGAGAATGTCAGCTGATGTAACAATGGGACAACTTGTTCCAGTAAAAAAATTCTCGTAATTCTTTTCTCTCATTTTATTACTCCCACTTACACTGCTTTGTATACTCCTAAATAATTCTTCCATCTGTGAAATTTTATGATTTGAGTAATGCATTCTTTTAAACTGGCTCATAAGGAATTGCATGTGGAAATATACCAAAATGTTTAGTTGTCTTATGATAGTTGGCCTTACAGTTTGTACTGATTGTTCAGTTTGGGGCTCTGTCTTTGTGTGAAGTAACAATGAAACTAATTTTCTTTGTGGTGTTTCATTTTTTAATATTCTGTGCCTTAGGCTAAACTCTATCTCTTGTAATGCACTTTTCCTGCAGAGGAACAAAGAACTGAGATAAGCTGCTTTTTTCCCCTCCCTCTGCAGGAGTTCATCCCATACATGGCCAAGAAGTATAATTTCCAGTATGAGCTTGTCCAGTATAAGTGGCCACGCTGGCTCCACCAACAAACAGAGAAACAGCGAATCATCTGGGGTTACAAGATCCTCTTTCTAGATGTGCTCTTCCCATTAGCTGTGGATAAAATCCTGTTTGTGGATGCTGATCAGGTAACACAGAGGCTGGAATTACTTGATCTTTTTTTCTTTCTCTTTTATTTTTTTAATAGTATGTTTTTGAATGCAATTTCCACATTGTTGGAAGGGTTGCAAGTTTGAGCCCTTCACAGGTATGACTGGAGGTTTATTCTGTAACTATAACATGCTTCAGTGAGGGCTGGGTTTTGTGCCTGTTCCCACAAAGATAGGTTTTGTTGGCCTGTCTTTAATGTTGTCTGATTCCTTGTTCCCTCACTGTGATTCCAGCTAGTTTGCCAAATAGATTCTCATTTCACTCTTCCATTTTTCCAGTTCTGTCTGTTCTCTCACCCTGCAGATCATTTACCACAGATAGTATTTTCCTAAGTCACCAAATACCCTGCCCTCCCAGGCCCCTACTTTTAACTTGGCCACATCTGAGTGGCTTTCAGAGGAGGAGAAGGCAAATCCCTTGTGCACAAGGCCACGTCCTGCTGCAGGGCAAACAGGGCCGTAAGGCTTTGTGTGTGCTCACTCCTGAATGGGTGGAAAGCACAGGAAGCAAACACAGTGAGGACTGCCAAAAGTACTCCCTCAAAAATACAAATGAATCTGAGAAGTACAGATTAGCAACATGTGAGTGCAAACTGCCTTAGGGGTTTTGGCATATGTACAGTGTGATCCCACACCAGTTCAAACCATTACAATTTATGCTGAAGTATCACCTAGGATAAATTTCCAGCTACACTGTTCTTATTTTAGACAGTTTCTCTGTAAGAGATATTAAGGTATTTTTTTCCCATCAGAGTGGTATTTTTAGAGTAGTGTTAATGTCACATTCTGTGTCAAAAAGACATTAAAAAGCCTTCATCCCTGAAGGGGCTGCAAACTTCGAAGAGGAAAGGATACAAAGGATCACAGTAGGGTTCACATATAGTGAGAATTCTTGCTGCATATTAACAGTTTTGCACTTCAGCTGTCAAACCAAGCCCTATCAGATTATTTCTAGGTCTGTTTTATTTGCTCCAGCTCTAAGTGCAGGGGAGACAACACCTTTTGTGCTGTGTTTTCTGTTCTACCTACACATAATGCTAAAGCCTGCCACGTATAACAGGTAATTCTTCCTTTAGCTGTTTGCTCAATTTGATTTGAATCCTGACCAGCATTGCCAAATAACCCATGGCAGGCCTCTAGAAATAAAATGTCCTTTCCCTTCAGATTGTGCGCACAGATCTAAAGGAATTGAGAGATTTCAATCTCGATGGTGCTCCTTATGGATATACTCCCTTCTGTGACAGCCGAAGAGAAATGGATGGCTACAGGTTCTGGAAATCAGGATACTGGGCAAGCCATTTAGCTGGAAGAAAATACCACATCAGGTAGCAAAGAATTAATTTTTTTTCAAAATAGAGGGGGAAAGGTTTTGCTGCTACTTAGACTTAGCAGAAAATTAGCTGAGGTGTGTGATGCTGCATGAACCACTTTTTGCTTGCTGTTGCCTCTTTAAAGTTGCATGGCATTGGAAACTCTAGGGACACCACTGAAGTTGTTTTCAGTGTGCTACAACTTTTACAGATGAAGAACTGAAGCATTAACTAACAGACGTCTTCCTTTGTTAATAACAGATGTTGGAAGAAGGGACTGCAAAGCTAAGATAGATTTGTTGAAAATTCTTTTTTGCACGTGCCACAAGCTTGTTAGAGCTGCTTTCCTGCCTTGTAATAGATCATCTGATGTGCTGCTACCATGAGATTGTTTTAGCATATTGTGTCTCGGGGTCTGCAGTGAGTTACCCCCAGTGAAATGTCATTACTAATTGCACCATCTCCTGTAGTGCTCTGTATGTTGTGGATCTGAAGAAGTTCAGGAAGATAGCAGCTGGAGATCGACTCAGAGGACAGTACCAGGGTCTCAGTCAGGATCCCAACAGTCTGTCCAACCTTGATCAGGTGTGTTTTATTGTGTTGGTTTTGGCTTACTGGGGTATGGTGGCAGGTCAGCACCTCTCCTTTCTTGACCAAACTTCCATTCCAGCCAGATGCCAGTGGCAGTCCTGTTATACCCTGCCTTCAAGTGAGGCAGGTATTGATAGCATCAAATATAACTGGTGGGTACAAACAACACCTTTTCCTTCAATGTCTTAAGACAATCAAATTTTCCAGTGTACAAACAAATACCTAACATAATTGGGTACTTGTTTCTTGAGCTGCTCAGCTCTGACTGCTTTACTGTGCACAGATTAATAACCTGGAGACAAGCCTTTTACTGTGATGGATGGAAAAAAATAACACAATGGTTTAATCAGCCAAGTCTAGTCTTCCAAACTGGTTCAGTTCAGATTTGATACTGGACTCATATTACTGCTTTAATACTGCTAAATTTGCTAATTAATACTGCTTTAATATTTGCAAAATAAGTAAATTTCAACAAAATAAGATCGAAATTGTAGTACACAAGCTTTTTCCAAAGAACTTTGTTTGGAATGGGATGAGAGGTGGATTCATCACTTTATATTTGCACTGGGGGAAAAAACCCAAACCTCTTTACAAAAGTTAACCTTCTCAGTACTATGTTGTTGGGAGGGGGGTTGCTTCTCCCATCCTGCACCCTGTGGAAATGGCTACTAACTCTTGTTCTGCACAACAGGATTTGCCAAACAACATGATCCACCAGGTGCCAATTAAATCCCTCCCACAGGAGTGGCTGTGGTGTGAAACGTGGTGTGATGATTCCTCCAAGAAGAGAGCAAAAACCATTGATCTGGTGAGTGCAGGATGGCTCCCTCACTCTTACATCACAATGAAATACAGTGACCAATTTTAGAGGCACTTCCCTACCTCAGCCTGTATTGGGACTTAGAGAAGCTGAAGTTAAAAACTTGAGTGCTGAAAACATGTATTTCTCTTACCTGGAGCAGTGACATTATTATGAATTAGAAAAGAGACTTTGCACTGTTCTCTAGCTAAAATACAGACACATGTTGTTCACCACCACCAGATTAATCCCAGCAGAGGGAAGCATGTCTCTGTTTAGTGCAGAAACATTTTGCACAGCTGAAGTGTATGAACAGCCCATGTGTTCTGTTTGCAGTGTAACAACCCCATGACCAAAGAGCCCAAGCTGCAAGCAGCCATGCGTATAGTTCCAGAATGGCAGGACTATGATCAAGAAATCAAACTGCTCCAGAGTCTTTTCCAGAAGGAAAAAGAAATGGGAACACCAGCTGAGATGCCAGGACAACACACACATGGTAATCTTTGTTTTCCTGCTTCTTTGGCTTTCTCCCTGCCTGTTGAACTGCTGTTGTGTTCTCCCTCACTTGAACCGTGCACGGGCTTGGATGAGGACCTGTTAAATAATCAGGTGGTGTAATGGGTGTAACTTAACATGATTCTGAAAGGCAGAGAACAGATTTGTTCAGTTCTTCTAAACACCCTCACTGTTCCTGCAGTTTTGTGAGCTTGGCCTTAACCCTTAAAGAAGCACCTCTCTGCACCATGGCTGTGAACTGTCCTTCGGGCACTGGTGCCCTGCAAAGAACAAGTTTTGGGGGTTTATACTGGTTTTCAAACCAATCTGCCAGTTCAAGGCAGCTGAAACCGAGTGCTTATTTTTCTCTCCTCTTTTACAGATCCAGCAGCACACGTGGAATTATGATCCATGCAGACAAATTGAAGTCAGACTGTTTCATAGACAATTTTTATATTGAAAGCTAGTTTTTTCCAGTATGTCTGCAAAACTGCTGAGTAATTGAATGGGATGATGTATGCATTTTTTTTACTTGCCTTTGGGTTAATTTCTGCATATGAAATAGGATCTGGATTGCTGGAATTAGCATTACTGGTTTTTTGCACCTGTGGTGGAGATGAAAGAGCCCATGATGGAATTTAGCATTTCAGAAACAAAACTTCAAAATCCACTGGAAAAGCCACAGCCTGTTCCTTCAACTGTCTCAACCACTGATGAAGATCAAGCTAGTCTCAGATGTAACTTGAGAGTCTGGGAATTGCAGACATACGTCCTAACCTCATCTAATGGAGATAATTTTTCCAGGTAACGTTATAAGGCTTAGAATTATGCCTTGAATTTGGGACACTGTTTCATCTGCAGGTTTTCAAATTGTTGGAAATACTTCTCAGATTTGTTGAGTCTGCCCTTGATTTTGTAACAAATCCAGCATTATTTTGATTTTTCTATTTCCTGTCTTCATTTATCACCCAACTTTTGATGGTTTGGCTTGTGTAAAGCTGCAATCTATTTAAATACCCATCCAAATACAAATGCCTAAGCTTACAAAGTGAGGAGAACATGGAATTTGGCAGCTGAGATCATCCTAGCCCATCTGACTTGAATCAAAGTACCCTCCCTTCCTTCCTGCTCAAATGTTTAAATCAGTCTGCAAAACTGGTAGGGCTTTACTCTGGCTGTGGTTCACTGATTCATGAATGTTTTTTGCTTATGAAAATCTGTGGAAGCTTGGAAGTTTATCATCATGTAAATTTCATTAACTTTATTTTTCTTCAACCAGAGACGTTGTCACATCAATAAAAACTTTGGAGTTCTTGGGTCTTAAGCTTTAGTTCCCACTCGGTCCTTTGATCATCCTTTTTGCTTGCACACAGTCCTAATTTAATTTTGGAGTTTCTGGATATTTCACTTGCATTTGTTTTCATTCTGTGCACAGACAAGAAAATATCTTCTTGCAGGGATTAATTATCTTGGGCTAGTTCTATCATTTGTATTCATGTCTTCATTTTTATGCTGCCATAGTTCTGTGTTATGAACATACCAATTAAAAAAAAAGGCAGCTCAAACCTCATTTCCCTCATTCTGTAGGATTATTGTCTGCTCCCTATAACACTGAGGGGTTGAAGAGTTGAAACGTAAGAACTAAAAGTAGTTACCTCTAGTACAAAATACATAGTTCCCTGTGCAGAAATCCAAACTGGGATCACTTTTGTGCCTCCCATGTTTTTATGCAGGCAAATGTTCTGTGCTGTAAGACCCTCAACCTAATGATAATCCTGATTTAGGATAGTCTTCTGGAATTATTGTATTATACATCCTGTCATATTTTGGAGGAATCTGAAAGATGCCAGTTGGAGTGTTTACACTGTCTGATGGGGTGACTGAACAGAAGAGCAGCTCTCGCGTGGCCAGCTCAAGCAAGGGCCCAAATCACCAACCCAAACTCTTAAAGAAAGCACATTAAGAGAAATATCCAGGGTCCCTGAGCTCACATCATGGGCATGGCTGGCCCATATCACTGCACCTGCACTTCTGGTGGGTACCAAAGGTGATTAGTTCTGGGAAGGTATAGGAAAGGACAGTTTATAATCCCCCTCTCCTGCGGGAGAGCTGTGCAAACCTGCGGGGCTGGAGAGCAAACCATGACCTTACAGAGTCACCAGCTTAGATATTTCCCACTTTGTGGGGGTTTAAATTCAGATGGTCTGCCTGGCACTCTGGAAATTACAGGTGAGGTGACTTACCCTTCCCATCAAAACTGTTCCAGTTAAGGATAAGCAGACTTACAGTAGGACTTTTTCTCTATTGTAAAACACAATAACGCTTCTGCCAACAAATTGAAGTAATTACATACTGTGTCAATTAGCTTCTTTTAAACAGCTGATCCAGCACAGGTGAGATTGTCCTTTCTGTGTTCAGTTGCAAACCACTTCAGCCTTGCTGGAGTACATGGAAGAGCACAGGACGAGGTGGGTAGCAGCTGTAACACCACCATTCCATCCAGGGATGGATAAGGAAAGAATGTGCTCAAAGCCCTCAGAACAAGAGAAGCTTCCTGTGAAACATGGCCCTCTCCTATCTAGAACCATATCTGTGCTTCTTTTTTTCCCCCAAATTTTATTAGAAGCCATAAGACGAGAACAAAGCAACCTCTTAAATTCAGCACAACATTTAAAATGCCTTGTTTGGTGTTGAATAAGGAGAAAATATTTTTAAATTAAATGTCAGTTACAGAATTATTTTTTTTAATTATGCTCGTCCATTCTGATAGTTAATGTATGCATTTGAAAACCCACGCTGCACCCTTTTTTTTAAAAACTATAAGATCTAGCAAGCTATGAAGGATATTTTTGTTCCCTCTGGTTAACAGAGGCCATGCTCTTCTATTCAGTTGTTATTAAGAAATCAAAGTCATCTAACTCACAACTGGTACAGAAAGAAACCAGAAACGTGCAGTGGGATTCTGTACCTTTGCAGTGCTTGTAAGAGTCCTTTGCCTGTTCTCCAGTACGATACAAAATGCACATGGTACTGATCATTCTCAATGTGAACTACTTCCATTTTTCCTGGGAAGCCACTATTTGTTTGCACCTAAGAATAACAGTCATAAAGGGAATAATCACTTATTTTGGATCTGTGTATATGATTGCTCCTAGTGCCCAACTGGGCCTTAAAAGAAAAAATATTTTGACAGCTCCATCTAGAAAGCATCTTGGAGTGAGATGCTTATTGAAATAGTCCTGCTTCTGATCATATCACTGATGGCCTGGTCCTGTAACTAGTAAGACTGATGATGATGAAAAATAGAAAATGTGGATTGCAGAGGTCACAAAGTAATTTTGGATTCCTCAGACTAGAAAGGCCACTTCTGTGGCAAAGCGATGACATTGTTCCAATCTCTGGCTATGAGCGGCTTGTCCTCTTGGTGGGGACTTCACAATGAGAAATGCCCTGTACTTTATTTTAAAAGGAAGATTTCACTGCCTTACGAGAAAACAAACAGTAGAGAAATAAGTCTTTAAGATTTCTTTTTCATTTAGATATTGGGGGGTGGGTTGTAATGGAAATGAAAGGGACATGTACAAAGCAGTAAATATCCGGTCACAGTCTTATGAACCAAAACATTTTTTAAAATATGAACTGTTTTTATTCAACTCTTCCGTAATCTGTTCAAGAATATTCCATAACTCTGTGTGGCACTGATACCAAGTGACCCGGGGTATTGGGAGTTACTCTTTACTGAACGTTACCTAAGATCACAGGGAGTTTCCCAGTACAGTGGCAACAAGAAGATCTGACATCATTAAAAACTCTGCTGTTCTTTACCCCTGTCTGTCTTGTTGATTGCCTTGGGGCTGATAACTGAGGTTTTAATGGTGTTGCTTAGAACATGTTTTTCACTTCCTGTATTCAAGTGTTGGGATATTGAAAAGCTAGAAGGGAAAGGGAGGAATTCCTCCTATCTGCCAGTCTTGATATTGGAGTAACCCCTAAACTGAAGTACTTCTGTTAAAAAAAGAATAAAAATATTTTATATAAATCTACCTTTTAGGTCTTTTTTTTCAACTCTACCTAATACTACTTATAAAAGGTGTTTCTATATCAGTTTTCTTTACTTGATTAGGTTTTCCACTGATACTTCATAGTAAGCACTTGGAAAAGTGATTGACCAATAATAATTCCAAGTACAGAGCTGTGTCTGGGTATCTTTTGGAGCTGGGAATGAATTCCAAACCCCTATAGGACTCTCAAGCCTCTCAACCAGAGCATCTTTATTAATCAAAGAGCTATAAAGTAGACAGCTTGACACAGAAAGCCCAACTGAATGCCATAGAAATACATATTTGCTTTCCTACAGTTGGCTGTTTGAACTTGCTCAGTTTTGGAAAATGAGAATAAATCCTAGGAGACAACTAAAAGGGGAAAAGGAAGCAGCGAGAAAGAATAAATACATGCCATGTGGCTATGGCCTCCTCAGCCAATAAGGAGTTTTGCATTCCCCTCCCCTGTTTGCTTTTCAAAGTACATATTTAAGCACGAGACTGTACATACTTTACGCCCAAGACTGAGAAGTGAGAAACTGATTGGCTGGAGGAAAGGGAGTCTTTTTTTTTTTTTACAAAAATCTATTTTAAAAATTGTATTAAACAAAATACAACAGGGCTTTTTATGAGCAACCTGTCCAGCACCCATGTCCAGCTCTTTTCAATAAGCAGAGCCAGCTTTTCCAGCACAAGACAAGGCTGAATTAACAGCCCTGGGCAGACATAGTCACCCCTCTGCACCATCATACAGAGGCTCATGTGGGGACTGTCCATTGCCCTGTGCTGAGGCTGCAGCCTTGCAGCGGGTGCCTCTGTCAAAGAGTTTGCCACAAAACCAAAGCAGGACTTAACTCAAAGCTCTGTTCAGTGCTGCTTCTGGCGTATTGGGCACAGCAGCTTACACCCAGCTCCTACCCCCACAGGAGAAATGAAACAGAGAAGCCTCTACACACATCCCAGGCACTCGGTTCCTTTTTTGTTTGCCATGTACCATTTAGGCTCTGTCTGGGGAACAGATTTACAGACATATGAGGGTAGGCAGCACTTGGTCTGCAGGTAAACATCACCTGTCCATGGGCTGCTCTTGTTGCCCGTTTCCAACTACTGGTCAAATACTTGCACTGACATAACAAGATGAAAATTCAAGCCACAAAAATGCACTTCAGAGTTCGACAAATCACAACAGTTATGGTGCCATTGCCAGGGCTTAGATGTAGGGGCAGGGATACCCCATGCCAGCCTTCCATGTACACTGTGCCAGGCCTGAAGAGACCCTCCCTGGATTACTGGTTTGGCCTGGGCCCCCATCCAGAGCACAAATGGTAGTGCCTGTGCATACAAAAACATCCCTGAATTTAGCACAAGGCACATGCCAGCCCCTCAGCTGTGCTCTTGGTGTGACAGTCCTGTCCCCCAGGACTTCTTGCCCCCACAGTGCCCCCAGAGTCCAGGCCACTGGATTTAATCCTGCCCCCAGCAGACACCTGCAGTCTGTGCCACAACAGAAACCCCTGCATCCATACAGGCAATCACAGGGGCTTCTGAGTGGAAGGTCTCCCTGGGCTCTGACCAGCTTGTCAGGTCAATCCTTCCACTGCCCCTCGGCGGTGAGTGCAGGCTGAGCGTCACTGCTAACACTGTTTAAAGAAAGGGTTGAAAGAACACTGACCTCCCACTGGTGTTGGAACTCCCCCCAGCAGCTCTGTGGTGCCTCTACCACACATCTCACCAGCTCGTAGCTGTTCAGATGTCTTCAATTACTCTGTCCAACAAGTGCAGCCTGGTTTGCAGTCCCTGCAAAAATGCACCCCAGGAAAGGAGTTAAACCTGTGCCCTCTGGAATGAAGAGACTGTCCAATCTGCCACCTCTGGCACAGCCACTGCCAATGGGACACAGAGCATGAGGTTCCTCAAGGAACTGACTTTGCCAAACCCTGCTGCTCCCCCAGAGCAGCCTTGCAAGTCACAGAAAGCTTCATTCTGACACCAGATTTACACTTCATGCTTCCACCTTGGCCAGCACTAACAGTAAATATTCCTACATTCAAAGCCTACCCACAAGGAAATTCCTCTCCATTTCCTCTGCCTGCCTCCTCTCTGCCAAATAACTATATTTACCTAATCAAGAGTATTGCTAATGGATTATACATTCCCTCTGTTTTGATTCAACACACTGATGTTCACTGACTTGAAGAAAAAGACCTCTCCCTCACTCTTCCTTTCTGCAGTTTATACTGCAGCATGTATGCCAGCTGCTTGTTGGAATCCAGATAATTGAACAGCATTCCCTAATCAGGACATTCAGGGAAAATCACTTCTGACTACCAGGGTTTATTGCTGACTAGACTTTATTAAGACCACTGCTAATACAGATTGTCCTGTGCTTGGAATACATTGAATTTGTTCTTTATCAGGCAGCTTGGGGCTTGATGAGGAATGAAAACAGTGTTTCTTCTGTGTGAGAATCTTGAATACACCTGATTATGGCACAAGCAGGATCGTCTTCTGCTCCTGGGCAACTGGAGACCCATGGTAAGTAATCAGGCATTCTGCTCCTTTAACTTTTTTTTTCTCTTCCTCTTTTCTTGGGAAAGTTTACACCATTCATACTTACTACATATCCCTTCTCTGCTGAAAAGAACAGGTCTCAGCTCTTAGACTCTCAGTCTCCTACCTTTTCCCTACATTTAGGTGTTTATTTACTACAATAAATATTCAGTAAGGACTTCCAGATATCCAAGTATTTCCTTCAGCCTTTAGACTGTTTTCTTGATATTTTCTGGTTTGCTTGGTTTTAGTGTTTTTTATTTTTAAAATTATTTTATTTTTAATAAATAAAATGAAATCCTGGCACCAAAACTAGATACATTCAATTCCATCAACACTACAACAAGAAAATATGTTTGTGTGCATGTGTATTTTTGTACATGCAAAATCATTCTCCCAAGTATTTGCCTTTTATACCATCAAACTCCACAGGAATCCTTCTACCCATCTCACTGAGAATTTATTTGTACTGCTTGTCTACCACAATCATGAAAGCCCCTTTTTGACTCAGGAATATAGTCCTCTATTCGCTGGAACTCTTTGTGTTTCGTATTCCTAAAGCTGCAATTTCAAACTTGCCTCACTGAAGTGCTTTTGTGATTCCCCTGCAGAAAGAGGCCCCAGAGTTCTGCTCTGCTGCTTGTCATCCAGGGCTGCTCAACAGCTGCCACCACAATTGCTTCCAGACCTCTATGAAAGCACCAAATAGCTCAGATCACTGCAGAGGAAAAGAATTTCAAACACCTATTTAATAGGGTTTCCCCACTAACTATCACTACTAGAACTTTGCTAACTGGTTCTTAATCCTTTTAGCACATGTCCCAGGGATGCAGTAACATTAATTTGGAGCAAGAAGGTGGGATTTTGTGAAGCATTTATGTGTACGCTCAGTGTTGCTATTATTCCTCAAAGTCACAATGGCTTGACAAGAATTATGTCCCATGAAACCCCCTCAAGAGTCATTTCAGCTCTCAGGGCAACCACTGATGTCCCAGGAGCTTCCCCTCTGGCTTCAGATGAATGTGTGGACAAGTAACTCTTTGCTGAGCTTCCCTGGAATATGTGCCTTATCTTCCACAGTTTATCAAAACCTGACATCCTTGGGTCAGGGATTTCTCCAGCCACCTCTTCAGACTCCTTCTAAATATCAGTTACTGAATTGTCTCTTTAGAAAAATCCTAAAATATCAGCTGCTCAATGTGCATTGCAGCAGACTAACGAAGATATCCCAAAACAGCTGATATATTAAGGTTTTTACAAACAGCACACACGTAGCCTGATTTTTATTAACACAGTGTTGCCATCTTCACCTAGGAACAAAGCTAAATGAGTTAAGGACATTTTTCCAAATGTTCTATTTCTTGTCCTTAAACTGAACTGTATTTAAGATGTGTCCAAGATTGTGTTTCTCTATCTTGGGTAAATAAGGCCTTATCTGTTGCTGTGCTGGCAGCCTCCAAGGCCAGTTAGGAGCCCTGCTGACCGAATTATGCTCCTGCCCCAGGAATGTGGCTCTGACTCTGGAAGGAGCCACATTGGCAGGCTTGTATGGGAAAAACTCCTCGCTGCTGCTGATCTGTCTGGATCTCTGTAGGAACACATTGTTTTGTTTTCACAACCCATTCCTCTGGGGTCTTTCAAAAAAAACTCAGAAAAAAAGTAAGAGACTGGATGCTTTTGGCCACACAAAGGTTGTGCATATTTGTCCCAACAACATCACTGACTGCTGGTTTGAAAGGTACCACCCGAGTCACCAAAGCCAGTACCTTGATACCACAACCACTACTGCAGAATCTCATTCCCAGATGTATCCATATCTCTTTAAATGAGTTGGGTTTTCACTCCCCCAGTCCTAGCACTCAGAAGCTGTTCAAACCTCGCCACACTGACAGCGATGGAAACCACCTTCCAGTTGCCCACCCCAACTTACAGTGTCACACTCTTTGTCTCTCACATCTCACATCTGACTTTAACTTTTACAGCTTTTCTTTTTCTTCCCCGCCACCACCCCCCTCTACCCTTTTTCACTGAATAAACAAGACAGGCTCTTAAAATAGGGTGACCTTATAGTAGGTGACCCAATTTTCTGTTGGAAGCTGCTTACTCACAATCACAGTGCTGCGTGGTCCTTTAAGGAAGAAAGCCGAAAGAAAGGACTCCGACCGTGCTGCACAATGATCTCAGCAGATGTTCTGAGCTGTAGAGGGAGCACTTGCACTGCAGAAAAAAATCCACGAGTCTCTGCTGACCCCTCCCCTGCAACTTCCAGCAATTTTTAAACTGGGAAATATTTGTCCCATGTGGTCGACTGTGGCGTTCCATGAGGGGAAAAGAAAAAAAAAAAAAGAAAATGAAAGAATGAAAGAGGAAAAAAACCCAAAGTCCAAAGCTGCACCGAGTCCAGCCCAAGGAGGAGGAACACAAGCTCATGCCCCATCACTGAACACAC